TCGCTTCAAAATGCAAAGGTATCGGGTTCGATTCCAGGCTATAAATTAGTTGATTCCTGTTGAAGAGCAGGACTGCATACAACTCATATTTTGTAATTCAAAAATCTAAATATATTTCATAGATATTTAAATATTTTTTAAATCAATTTTCTCAGACCCGCTAAGCTCCACCCTAAAATCATGCTCCAGATCTTATTCATCTTGTGACATCATCTGTCGATCATTTGTGAGCTAACAAGAGACAGTGGTATATGTAGCTTCATCAGAGCTGACTAACTGTTTACAATAGACCATATAACACCAACATGGGAGTTGCTATGTCAGACGTAATGTAAATGTAGTGTTGATTTTCAACCCTTTTAGCCCTTTTTTCTGACCGTAAAAGTATACATTGTAATGGTATTATTTTAATTGATCGAATTTATTCCCTTTTTTGTGAAGGAGAAAACTATGAATAAAAGAACTCGAAATTGTAAATTATGTAATCATGCTTTTTTCATCTTCGTGAACTCAATATATAGTTTCCGACAATAAGCCCACCACGGAATACTTTTTTGCCATCACACCAATTAACCTTCCCCCCCCCCCCCCAAAAAAAAAAAAAAAATCAGTTCAATTAAATTAAGTATCATCATTGCGGCTGAAAGTTATTCGAAGGACGAAAGGTATAGTTTCAGTTGGCGGAAAAACAGTTTTCATAACAGCATACAGACAGGCCATTCGGATGTCGAAGTGATACAAACTGAATTTTGTAATTGTTTCTGTCATGATCATTTGTCTTAGTTTGGTTGCGTTTCAGAACAAGTAGGCCTCATTAACTTTTGGCGGAAAATAATGGATACTTTTTAAAGTAGCCTTGGAGGACCTTCATCGTATTGTTTTGGGTCATACAAATTCACGAAAAAGGAAAACTTTTCCTTACTGATTATCTTTCATTCATATCATAAAACAAAAATTCACCAACCGTCAAACTTTAAAGGCAATGCGTAGCAGGCAGGCGGCCTCTATTCACCATATTTCTTGGCAGTCAGCTAGGTAAAACAAACAAACAAACATAACCTAACCTAACCTAACCTAACCTAACCTAACCTAACCTAACCTAACCTAACCTAATCGACAATGACAGGAAATATTCTCCTAAATCCCTGACAAACATTTCTGGCACTTACATTATAATTATTTGCTGTATAGGTGTGTATATTATTCGTGTAAAGTAGTTAGATTTTGTTTCCTGTTATCTTTATAATGAGAGGGTGTATCTTTACGTGTACACATTAAAATACAGCGCATAGAAAAACACGAAGTTATGTTTGCACTGACGAGGAGAATGAATGTCTATTGACATTGTCAAACTGTTCAAACTTTTACCAGTCGAGTGTCACTTACAGCTCTTACAAACAAAACGGGACTAAAAGAAAGTTAACTGGACCAGCAAGGTCACACAGCCAGGAGGGTTTTTAAATAATCGATAACAAACGTAACCATGGGCGAACTGGGCCAGGGGATGCAGACCCCCCCCCCCCCCCACTGCCCCTTCCCGCACCTACGGTATTTTTAGTTCCAATATTCGGGCAACCGCCACCTCAGATTGGGGGAGTGATCTAAATGCCCGACAATCATCACATTCGGCCGGCGAGCGAGATGCTTCAATAGATTATATTCGGGGGGGGGGGGGTGCCCAAATATGTAATTTCTTGAACTTAGTACAACAAGTGTGAAGTTTTTGCGCACCCGCTTCACTCACGCGGGGAAAATTGAAAAAAACTGAAGCGCTGCTATTCGGGCAAAAGGCATAGTACGCCTGTGAACTTTACATCAAGATGATGTATTTTACTCCCGACTCCCCCCCCCCCCCCCCTCACTCCGGGGTCAGAATGACCGCATGCGTGTTACCAAAATGTCCGGTAAAGGGGTACTTTTCGTGCGACAAAGTCCGGCCCGAGAATTGTAAAAAAGGGGTGTATTTGACTTTTCACCCGAAGATTTCTTTAAAAAGGGGTGATTTTTTCTTCTTTCTCTCATCTCTTTGGACTCCTGAGAAATTATTCCGAATTTAGGTTCAAGTGGTTTGTAACCAGGGACCGCGGAACCCTTTTCTGACGGGTCTATGGGGGTTAGGACAATGATGGAAAGTCTAATATTATATCCCCTTCTGTAGCATTAGCCTTAATTTCAACGACTTAAATTCCAGGCTTAATTCATATAGCATAAAAAATGGATGGATAAACCTCGATACAGAATCACAAAGTTGTATACGGCTCCATTTCTTTTGATCTACTGCTTTCTTCATTTTCCTTCTTGCAAATCTCTCTTTCTGTTTGTATTTTCTCAATCACTCCCTCTCTACTAATTTATATCTTGATCATTCCCAATTTGCTTTTTTCTCTCTGGGGATTGCCATCTTCCTCTTTTTTTCTCTCCCCAATCGTTCCTTATCACTCACCCCATTTCGCATCCTCTCTTCACTAGCTACCTCTTTTTAATTTCATCCTACATTCTCTTTCTCATATTATCTCAATTTTTCTCTCTTTTACTCTTTAAATGCTCTACTTTGTTTCTCTCATTTTCTTTTCCTTCCCTCCCGACTGCCATTCTCTTTCCATCCTCAAATACTTGATTCAGAAAAGCAAATAAAATCTGAAAATGTAATAAAACAAAATTATAACGATTCATATAATTGAAGCTGCTTTAATACTCTCCATACACAGTCGAGTCCTTCTTGGAAGAAACCACAAACAAATCCTATAATTCTTTCGTATGAACACTAACATTTTAAAAAAATTAATCCATCTGCAATTCTGCACCATATATCAGCTTATTTCATTCAGTTAAAGCTGAATACACAAGTCATAATCTAATATTTTATGACAGAGAATTTTAGTACTCTAATATTCTGAATCAGGAGTAAGAAAGGGGGCTGACCTCAATAGAAGTTTAATTCATAGTTTGACCATCATTATAACTACCGGTATGAAAGCATCACAACCTTCATATAATCGGAAGAGTACTCAATTTATAACACTAGCATCACCTTTGTATCCAAGATCTTCTCAAGATTTTTTTTTTAAGACAAAAAAGTAATGAAACCACCCATCCAGGGGGGCATTTCACAAAACTTGTCATCAGTGACAAATGACAGTTTTTGTTATAAGCTACTGAAATCCTTGCTCCTAATTGGTTATCATCAGATTTGTCACTGATTTTTGTCATTTGTCATTGAAAAAAAAGGCTTTGTGAACCCCCCCCCCCCCAGGGCAAAAGTGATTGTTTTGCTGTGAATCCACCTGATTTAGAAGAAAAGTGAACACACACCTGTGGCTCCTTCAGAAATGAAGCAGTAAACTGGGGGCGTTTCACAAAGCCTTTTTTCAATAACAAATGACAAAAATCAGTGACAAATCTGCTGATAACCAATCAGAAGCAAGGATTTAGTTTTGTGAAACGCTCCCCTGGTGCAAACAATTTGCAACTGCTTGCACCAATGGACCTACATGTAATCACTGAGCTCTGTGTTAAAACATACAGAAATGCGAAGATAACTACAATAATGACTTCTTATATTTAAAAAAATGCCAGGGTTTAATGCGTCATTTGTGAATGAGGATTCACTCTCACATCAGGGAGTACATGTTGCCTTCTCTTTTATGACATGACAAGTTTCATATCAATAGCAAGACAGCCAAGCAGCTTTATGAATTTTGGAAATTCAAATACAAAATGTGAGAGATTGGTGTGTGGTCACGCCATTAGACAAGGCATTTTATACACATTCAGCATAGTGTAAAATATATAAAGGGAAAATATAATCTTTTACCACACACTATTTATTGTACATGTATTTTGAAGTTGGATCATAAGTGAATGACGACATATCATCTTGGGGCAAATACAGGAGAGAGGTGATTCTGTCACCTTTCAAAGTCACCTTTATAGATATGAAATGTTATGTCAACTGTTTTTCATGCTATAATCATCACATGCTGTATCATGGCAGTTTTGTAAATTGGTACTTGACTCTTTGACAGTCTGGTTACGTGCATAGCAAGAAAGCTCATGAAGTGTCTAAATTCAACAGTGGGTGGGCACTGGGTCAAGAATAACATCTCTTTGTTGGGATTTACCTAAACCTCAAAGAAGGCCAATGGTACTTGAATTTAACACAGCAAATAAATTCTCTCCTATGGTTACATGCATTTAGTACAACACCATGAAAAAAAGACAATCAACAACAAACCAAAGGGATGGACTGTAAAATTGTCTAAATCATAGTGAAATTACCCTGAATTGTACAATGTATCATCCTCAAGCATATAATGTATGCTACTAAATAGACTTTTACATGTATTTAACATGGTTCATTACATTACATGTAAAGAAATAGGAAAAACTTACAATTATTCAGAGTCCTCAAACCACTTGTCTTCCCTGGTATATCAATGGGATTCCATTCAGAATAAGCAAGGAAAAAAGTTCCATTATACAATTTTCCTAACAATTTCAGATTGAACTCTAAAAGGTAAATGTAAAACTTTAAGACAGGGAACAGATCAAGACATTCCTTACAGGAACACATGATGTCTTGTGACCATCAGTCAAACTAACTAGTCATAACATCACTCAGTAACTACAAAAGCCCATGTACAGCTCTTGTATGTAACTCAACTCCATTCATCCAATAAGCCAGTTCACGGTTGCAGTCTGAGCATGAGCAGATAAAGGTCATTGCAGAACAAATTTTGAAATACACGGAGACGAAATACTGGATACGTGTTCATGAAAGTTATGTAACATTATTCATTCATGCACATTCAGTGCCATCCATGATACACAGGTGGAAGTATTCTTTGAAAAGGGGAAACAAAGGCTATTTATATAGCACCTCCATCGCTGTAGGAGTGATTATTTCAAAATGTAAAAAGTGGGACCTCTTCATGTTTTTAAGATCTGTGGATATTCGGGGTCATTGCAGTAATGTGCTAACCGTGAACTGGTCTATTCCTTGGACTCTTGCTGGTAAATAGTAATTCACATAAGATGTGAAACACAATTCGCATATCTGCTTATCATCAAACTGATGTTCCTTTCTTCTGATTTTGTAATTCCTGTAAAAGACTTTGATTAAACAAAGTTTTGGTGATTGTCTGTACCCCAAAGATAACACGGTTACTCCTGACCTTTCTTCTATGCTCGGTCACACACAATAACTATACATGGGCCTACCAATCAGAGCCCATATTCACAAGACCTTACTATTAAAACTGGTTGTCAACTAATTACATATGCTTTACAACATACAGTCAAACCTGTCTATAGCGACCGCCCAAGGGAAACACAAAAAGTGGTCTGTGAAGACAGGTGGCCTTTGTACACAGGTTCCTTTAGTACATGTTTCAATGAGAAACCATTTTCAAGGGAAACAACAAATATGGTCTTTGTAGACAGGTGGTCACTAAAGAAGGTTTGACTGTAGTTAGTTAGTATAGAACTAGACTCGGTAAGGTTATATGAATACGGGCCTTGATGATTGAATCAAGAGTGCTTTACTTAGTGACTTCATGCATAGCATGCGCCAGGTAGGCATTGTTATTCGATGAGATCCCAGCTACCGAGATTCGCCCATCCTTTGTCAGGTAGATGGAGAAGTCCTTGGTCAGACGCTCAACCTGAAAACAAAAATATACAATTGGAAGAAATAAATCAAAACATGCACAATTGGAATGACAATAGGTACATGTACATCCTCGGCAAGCAATCTGACACATGGTGAATGACATGAATGACCCTTGACCTTTGTAGATACTACGTCCCTTTTGCAGCCAACATCAAATTCTGTAGAACTTTGCAGAAATTATGAATATGTCATGTATGTCCTATCTGTGAAATTTAAACGTTAGCAGTGTCCTAATATTCAAATTATGCAAGGAAACCTGTTTACTTGCTAGACTTCACTGTCAGACACTATTGAGTGACTGACTGGCTATTTTTTCTTCTTTGGTAATAACATACATAAAATGAGCTGTAAAGGGTACATGGGCATTTGTCTACATAAATAACCGACTTCTTCCAATGGCCAAAATTAAACTGATTGAATCTTTGCACAGCATAAAACGTATGACCATTCAGTACAATGGTCTGAAAATCAGACTATTACTTACTGGCTCTATAGCTCTTAAGTCGATTTGACAACTAATAGTCGTTATTTTCCCACTTAAAGACATTTTCAAGCCCTCTTTTTTTAGGGAAGTTCTAAATTAGTATTATCTTTCAAATGCCGTTGGAATTTAACCTTTTCATTTTTTGGGCCTGCAAATGGGACATAGTACCTTTAACAGAATGGGAATACAAGTTATGTATGTTGTAGTAGTGGTAGATGGAGACTGATGTGGCTAACTTATGATGCAAAAGGCTAATCTGCTACAAGGTTCATATATGCCATTCTTTCAAGACAGTTCTCTTGACAATTCTTGAGTTACTGCTATATTGAAATAGTGGTTAAAACAATCTGGCATTCTAGCAGAGCAATTTGACATCTTTAGTGGTGAAAGTAAGGTTCCTTTTATGCGTGTTATTGCATACATGCCAACATTTGAAAATCAGAAATCTGTACAAATTATGAATTTTCAAAAAAAAGAGGAACAATCCTAACTCTCCTATTCAATACTACAGACAAATTTGTACAGGAAGAGGAACACCTGCATTAAAATGATAATTATCTTCTCCCAAAAAGAGGAATGTTCCTCTTTAATCTGAACAGTTGGCATGTATGTTATTGTATCTGAAAGCCTTTAACAGATGAGTACTGACCTGATCAGGATTAAGACCGGTAAAACAGAACATGCCAATCTGATCTGTGATGTGTTGCCAATTGTGCGTAGATCCTTCCTTCTGCAAATTGGCAACAAGCTGCTCTCTCATAGAGATGATACGTCCAGACATCTGGCGTAGTTCACCCAACCTGTAATACAATAGATTGAGCTTAATGTACATGTACAATACAATGTTACAGCATTATCACTGATGGCTCAATGGTAGAGCAGTGGTCATGTACCCGGGAGGACCCGGGTTAAAAAAAAAACAATTTGATGCACTAGTGCCCTTTGGTAAGACATTTATCCTCATTACCAAGTCCTTCGAGAGGACTTAAAGCAGTTGGTCCCCTGGTTGCTTACTTACAAGCATACACATGATATCTCAGCAGTCAGGGGGGTGTTTCATGAAGCTTTTCGTAAAGTTACGCATGACTTTACGAATGACTTAAATAAGAAAAGCCAAATGGGATGCTAAATCATTTTTAACTGCATCAACTAAAGTTCAACTGTGCAGACGTAGATTAATATTCTTATTATAACAAACATTTTTAATGCATTTTTGCCATAATTTAATTGAGGTTATTGGAAATATAGTCACACTTTGTTAAAACATCAAGAAAAACTTTTGGCATCCCATCTAGCACTTCATATTCAAGTCGTTTGTAAAGTCATGAGTAACTTTGAGAACAGCTTTATGAAACACCCCCAGGTAAGACAAACAAACAAATTGGCATCACCCTGGGATGGGAACTTAATCACTGTCACCATTAAGTCTCTCATCAAAGTAAAACTGATTGGATTGTGCAGGTGGAACCGTCTTGAAAGAAGAGTGTAGTGGGTTCTTTTCATATTATTTTCATAAGTGCTTTGTATCTTCTTTCAAGAAAAGGTGCAATAGGAATGTTTCATCACTATTATCATTATAAGGTAGTGACTCCTCGAAACAAGGGACCTAAGCTTAATATCCAAATTGTTTCCCACTGCAACCTAGCTCGCATCTAAGGAAAAGGGAAGGGGCATGTGTAACTAAGACTCAATATTGTCTGTACATTTACACTCACCACAATTCATATAGCTCTGGTGTATTGAGGATAGTTGATGCTATCCTAGCTCCATTGAGAGGTGGATTAGAGTACATGGGTCTGATCAAGATCTTGATTTGTGATTCGACTCTCTTGGCTTCCTCAGCTGATGAACAGAGTACTGTAAAACCTCCAACTCGCTCACCTACACACACACACACACAAAACATCAAGTAATCCGATATTAGTAGTTATCTATTTCATTTCATCCTTGTGTATTGTTGAACATTTTAAGCTGTAGGATCGTACATGTTTGTAGAGAAATGACATACTATGTAGTCAACCTGTAATGAAATGTGTACCTTGAAACATGATCATTTCATCATACAATTAACATCACACAAAATAACCACCCCCCCCCCCAAAAAAAAAAAAAAATAAATAAATAAATAAATAAATAAATAAATAAATAAATAAAAATTCCTCAGAAACCTAAGCAATTTGTCTTGATCATTCTGCATTCTATTTGCAAGATGTAAAATAATGAATAGTGATGCTTACCATAGAGACCCATGTTTTTAGCGAATGATTGTGAGAGGACTAGGGAGTGTCCTTCATCCATGAAGTAACGTACTGGCCAGGCATCTTTGTCCAGACTACCTGATGCAAACCCTTGGTAAGCCATGTCAAAGAAAGGAAACAACTTCCTGTCCTGTGAGAGATAATAAAGAATACTTTATTAAAAAGAAAAAGAAGATTTGATTGTCTGATGTGATAAGAGAGAGAGAGAGAGAGAGAGAGAGGGGGGGGGGGGGAGGGGAGAGCAATCACTTTCAATACCTCTCAAGTAATCTGCTTCTCACATTCTCATTCTTATGAAACTATTTCTAGAATAATATTTCCAAATTGACAACAAAATTATAATTACAAATGAAATTATGATAAGACAGAATTTGACTGAAAATATTTAAATTGAAGTTAAATTGAGCCATTTTCAAGTTGTACACCTGAATCATGTATCAGCTACTTATTAAAACTTGTTAGATATACGTAAAATCTCAAGACGGGCGGAGGATAGAGTTGTGCTATGAACCTGTGCCTGTTCGAGTCACCTTGTTTGATGGAGTCTCCATGGCGTCTGAGAACATTTTCTGAAATATTAAATTCAATGTAATACTTTCTTTGTTATTTCATTTCATAGCATGAAATCCCTGAAAGTTTTTAAACTGTTTCACACAACTCACCCGCAAACTCTAGAACAATATATTTTGAGTTTGTAAGAACATACCTTAACAATCTTTGACAGCTCCTTCCATTGTTCTTGCTGTAAAATGTAATGAAATACAGAAAACATCAATGGATATGTATTACAGATTACTTTTTACAGCATGATAAAGTAACATTCAAGAAAACATGTCAGTACAAACGCATTAGAAATTATCACAGTAATCATCACTTTCATGCAATTACGATTCCTACTACTCTCACTAATAGTATTGCACTCATTAGTTCAATTCAATTCAATAAGAAGACAAACTTCAGGTTTCAAATTCCTCTGAAAAGAGGAGAATATATGACAGAAAATTGTGTAAAAAGAATCAATGGCTCAACATGGCTACCCCTATTTTGTAGTTTTTTTAAATTAATTATAAAATTATTTTTGTTCCTTCGTTCTTACAAGATACAGTTCGAAGTGTAAAATCTAAAAAGAAAAAAAAAAATCCTCTAGAACTTCATTAACTTCAGTATATCTTATGACTTGTAATTGCCTCTATTTCCATAGGTATTTTATTTTGTAACCCCCCCCCCCCCTTACTGTTTACAAATTGCACACAGTATCATGGCTCTTATCACACAGAGATTGTAGTGACATTGAACTAACCTTGGGATCTACACCTGTAGGGTTGTGTGCACACGCATGGAACAGTATAATGGAGTTCTCTGGGATATTCTGTGGAGTAAAAGGGGAATAACTTGTTTACTTGAAAGACTAGAAGACCTTTAAGCATTGCAAAAATCATTCCAACTCTACTTGAATGGATCTGGGGGGTGTTTCACAAAGATCCTAAGTCTAACTAAAATCTTAGTTGGACTTTAAAATTATGGAGAGCCATTTGTAGCCTTAAAATAAAATATATTCAAAAGCAAAATTTGAATTATTTTAGACTTTTTATAAATTCTACATCAAGAACATGAAATCTCCTTGATAATAGAAAATATGAATGATTTGAATCAACATTGTATGCCTTTAAAAATAACTTTTGAAAAAATGTTCATAGATGCTAACGGCTTTCCATATTTTTTAAGTCCAACTTAGAGATAAGTTCAACTTAGGATCTTTGTGAAACACGCCCCTGGATTAGAGATGTGGTCCTGACACACAATAAAGCATACTTTGTGTTCATGCAATCATTACCAAGTGATTGGCTCTGTGTTATACTACCTACATGTATACATGTATACAGTCAAACCTGTCTATAGCTTCCACCCAAGGGAAACACAAATAATGGTCGTTATGGACAGGTGGTTGCTAAGACAGGTTTGACTGGATTACATCTTGGAAGAATAAAATGACTTACCAACACAAGGGGAAGTGAGTTGAAGTCATAATGGAAAACATAAGCATTTTTACTCAACAATGGGATGTAACAGTGAAGCAGGACATTAAATCCATTACATATTTATCTAATAGTGTAGTAACAGAATTCTGTATTAACATTTAAAATCTTCATTCTCAAAATGTAGGAATCTATGAACTATAAAATTTACAACAGTGACTGAACCATTATGTTTTCCTCTATTCACTGAAGCTACTTATGATAAAACTACACAAAATTACAACCGAAAAACAACTTTACTTACCGATATATCTTCCATGGCCCCAGCTGCATCAAATCCGCATGTTGCCCTATCATAATAGCGGTAACTTGCCACATCTAAACCAGCATGTCTGTTCATGCAAGCATAAAGAAATACATGTATTTACAGACATTTCAGAATATTACATACCATGAGTTTACATTGCAATGATGGTAAAAGTGTTCCTTCTCATGAAAAAGGGTATTTCCTTTCACCGTAAACAAAGTAGCATAGGAATAATGGAGTAAAGAAAAGAGTAACAGATCCATATTGAAATTTATAAGGGTACTATCAAACTTTATCTTTACTTAATTTTCCTTTTCAAAGTAAAAGAAATGACATAGCAAGAGAAGATTTATTACCACAAGTAAACAGAGATGGAGCACTCCACAGAATGTTATCTTTTATGATTATTTTCATACAAGAAAGAAATGCTTTGTGTGCTTAACAAAAGGGGAAAAACAAATTTAGTAATGTTTGGACAGAAAACAAATTATAATTGTTGATGATCAATTCAATTATACTAATCATTTTATACAAATAACAGCCTTTCCTATCAAAATACTACAAATTATTTGTGAGTTTTAGAATGGCTAATGTGACTGACTCACTTGAAGATTGGTGTGTGGTTACCCCATGATGGTGATGGCAAGTAGACAACCTTGTTACCAGGAAAGAATTTCTGAAGGAAACTACCCCCAACACGAAGAGATCCTGTTCCAGAGATGGTCTGCACAGTAACATTCTGAATAAAACAAAATTATTGATTAAAGTTATGTTAATAATACTACAAGATAAAATTCTTTCAACCCACATACGTACAAAACAGACCTTATAAAAATTCAAAAGTCTTGAGAGTTTTACAAACTCAGTTTTCAATCAACTAGAATGAACGTGGCCCTAGTTTTATTTTATTTGCTTAATTCAATGACATTGCTTTTGTGGCGCACTGTCTTTTTTTGCACATACTCCTGTACATCTCAAGATGAGAAAAAGTCAAACTTCCATGACACAAATAATCCCACAAGAAGGTGAAGTTGGAAGCTTATCAAAATACTTACTCTGCCCTCTGCTAAGTGTTGACTATCCTGCCCAAAGGCCAACTTGGCAGCTCCTTTAGCAAAGTCAGCTAAACCTGTGATAGGCAGATATTCCTTGTCTAGACTCATATTCCTCACTTTGTCCTCCGCCTATTGAAAATAAGGCAAGCTCAAACGTAATTATACAAACAAAATCATCCCATTATTGTGTCTGACCAGCCAAAAATCTAGAGAAATTACTGAACACTTCAGAACTTTTTGTGAGAAAACCAAGCGTGCTGTAAAGTTATCATGAAGACCACTTCTAAAAGGTAAAAAGTAAGACTTTGAATCTCTTCCTGAAGCACTCTTATAAATTGCATCTTATCAAATGTTGTTTGTACAAAGATGCTAGGAATTTCATTGCATTTTCCTTAAAGGCTGATACTATCCATACTGACTAAACATTTCTTTACCAAACTGATAAGAGCAACTTTCTTTCACATCTAGAAAAATAATAAGGGCAGTTGATAAATGTATTTAATTCACTGCACACATCTAAAACATGACCAGAGGCTGGTCAAAAACATCATTTCAGACCAATAAAATGATAAACCTTGCAGCTAGGCTTGCAGCATAATTGGTAAATGTAAAAATGGAATGACTATATTTATACAAATGCATCCACACATCAGTGATCTTGTTTGAAGAGTGTGTGGTTAAGAACATAAAACTTCTTAAAGATTAAAGACCACCATTTTATCTCCAGATCTCCAGAGACTATGCATCTTGGAACAGACTACCAGCCCTCAGAATTGAAGATTTTAATTCTTACCTGTTTGACTGACTGTAGAACAAATGGTTTTCCTTCATCATCACGATATGCACCTACACCAAGATTGATCTTGTTTGTATTGGTATCTCGTTTGAAGGCCTCTGAAACACCAAGGATTGGATCTGGAGGTCCCATCTCAACTCCATCCCACAAGCTAGTCAGAAAGAAAATATAAAAAAAAAAATGTTCTAGTATCGGTAGTAGTATTGGTTTTTGGCTCTATTGCAATTCAAACTTTTAATAATACATACCAAACCAAATTGAGCAATTTGATTCATTCTTTGGGCAACTCTACAATAGATGTATTTTGACATTGTCATGGATATTCAAAGGAATAAAAAATGAACTTGAAGTCTTGAACCATCTTCTTTAAAACTTCAATGTCTATTTTTGTGTTCATACATACTATTCTTTGAATCATCCACAGTTCCACACACAAAACAAATGGGCTTCAGAACTTAGGAAGGCAAAATTCTAAGTTGGAAAAAGTGCCTTGTTGTTAGTTTGAATTGTTAATGTACTACAGTACACATGTGATATTCAAAATTAAAGTCTCCTTCACTATGTCTACTAGGAAACGAACTAACTCGGCCCGTTGCGAATACAGGGCCGAGCTGTCCCGGCATGATTTAATTTGTTATGATTTTTTTCGGATTAGGGTTAGGGTTTAGGGTGGATTTCTTCTTCATCCCTTTGGCTTTGCATGTTGGTTTTCCAGCCTTTCTTAATTTAAGGATGCGGTTTTGGGGGTGATGCAGAGATGCCAACCTCTTGACACAAAAAAAAACAGACCGAGTATCCTAAAAAATCAGATTTTCACGAAAACTTGACGCTACCACTGGCCTGGGGCTCCGGGCCAGTAAAATGTCATAAAAATATTTTACTTTTAAGTACGGTAAAGTAAAATGTTTGCTCTTTCATTAAAATTTAATAAGAAAAATGTAAAGCAAAGTTTTTGTTTGGGTTGCCAGGGTTTACTTGTACATGTTTCTATGCGATTCCGCTGTTTTGGGGGGTTAAAAAAAAAAATGACAGATGAAAAATCTTATTTTAAAGGTACTATGTCCCATTTGCAGGCCAAAAAAATGAAAAAGTTAAATTCCAACTGCATTTGAAAGATAATACTAATTTAGAACTTCCCTGTAAAATGTGGGGCTTGAAAATGTCTTCAAGTGGGAAAATAACGACTATTAGTTGTCAAATCGACTTTAGGGCTATAGAGCCCAAAAGTAATAGTCTTGATTTTCAGACAATTGTACCGAATGGCCATACGTTTTATGCTGCGCAAAGATTCAATCAGTTTAATCTTGGCCATCACAAGAAGTGGGTTATTGATGTAGACAAATGCTCATGTACCTTTTACAACTCTTTTCAAGTATGTTATTACCAAAGAAGAAAAAAAAAGCCAGTCAGTCACTCAATAGTGTCTGACAGTGAAGTCTAGCAAGTAAACGTGTTTCCTTGCATAATTTGAATATGAGGACACTGCTAACGTTAAAATTTCACAGATAGGACATACATGTCATATTCATAATTCCTGCAAAGTTCTACAGCATTTGAGGTTGGCTGCAAAAGGGACATAGTACCTTTAAGAGGTGATATCGTATTATCATATTTCACTCTTATTATCGAACTAAATCTGAATTAATCGTACTGGTTGGCATCTCTGGGTGATACAGAGTGTCGCTGATGACCTTGTCTTGCTTGTGTCGTGCCGACCAGGAGTCAAAGAGTGGATCACGGACACACAGGGATGGCTTGCGTGACAACGTGTAGTATTCAATGATCAGCGAGAAGAATGCTTCGATCATATTACTTCCTGCTACCGCCTCGAGATTACGCCAAAGGATCTCACTCAAGTCCCCCTCGAAACTTCCGATGCTGGTGCCATTAATGCGCCAGAAGTGATCTTTTGCGTGTTTTCAACTACCCTCTATTGTATTGGTGTGTACTGTCTTCTCCTCCCCCGTCGCTAGCTCTCTGTAGACCTGCACATAGGCATGTGTGTGCTCCAAGGAGAAATGCCAGTAACCCCTCTCATTCAAAGTGGAATAGGCTCTCCACCCGTCGGTGTAGATCGTGGTGCCTTTCTCTACGTGCCTCTTGATGAGGGGCATGAGGGTAGCCTCATCTCTCTTTTCTTGTCTGCTGGGTAGAGGATGATTCGCTTTGTGGCCCTTTCCACCATTCCCAGGATCCACACTTTCGAACCCCCTCTTGGGTCTCCTCGATGGTATTTGCACCGACGGCCGAACAAACTTTCATCAATCTCCATCTCTCCACGAAACATCGTTTCTGTGCCTCCAAAATAAAGGCAGTCGACAAATTTCCGACACAGGTCACAAAGGAAATTCGCCCAATCCACTGAAGTGTGTTTGTAGTCCAGTCCAGATTGAATGGCGCATCGATGGAGGGACGATTGAAAAACCCATTCACGGATGAAGACCAAGATATCGCGCACATCAAAGTGGGTTCCTTAAAAAAATTGAATCCTTATGTACCGAGTAAGTCTTTTCGTGTCTCCAAGTGAGGGACCCTTTGCATCTTCAGATCCGGCCACCTTTTTTTTTTGGAGCTGTTTGCAACGCTTTTGCAAAACCTTGTGCAAACTTCTTCTTCTTCTTCTTTGGGTTAAGTCTACCTCCTTTACAGTTGAAGATTCTTGTAGACTGATGAGTGTGTGTGCTTACGAGAGCAAGGTGCATGGTGTAATGCTATTTACATGGTGCAAGTAAAAAGTTCCAGGACTTAGTTGCTGCCTCCCGTCAGGCATTGACGGAAGGCATTGACGGATGAGGCACATACCGTTTCTGATGGCAGGTTGTTCCAACTCCTCACAGTCCTGGGAAAGAAGGACTGCTTATGTTGCTCAGTTCTTGAACGGAGGACTTGGTAGCTATGTGCATGGGCAGTCCTGGAGGGTCTTGTGACAGGGTTGATGTAGGATGCTGTGTCTAGTGCTACCGGGTTGTTTTGGAGCTTGTACATCATCACCAGTTTATTGACAATGCGATGAGGCGGTGATGTTCAGAGCCACTTGTACAACTTTAAGTTAGCGACTGTAATAGTTTACTGTCCCTAACTGAACCATGTTAACACACGCGCGCCTGCACCCAGCGTTGGTACTGTATGCAATTGTGTGTTGCAGTTTGCCGTGAATCCTGTGAGAAAGTGCATATTATAAGTCTTCGTTTTAAGGAAAAATACTCCGAAAAATATAAGAAAATTGACACAAAACAGATAACAAACATAGGTCTAGTCAACTTTAAATCATGATCTTGGATATTTGATGAATATTTAGAAATCTAGATCTAGGCTACTTCACTTTGGGTATGTTTTAGAAGGGTATCTCCACGCCGGAGTTACGGGTCAATAGTTCTTCGGCGGCTTTTATCACGAAAATGCCCTCTTGCCATTGTCAAGATTGCCTAGATCTAGCGGGCTGCCAACAACGTCAACGGCGCGGTCAACTGGGCCGCGGCGCGCGGCAAGCAGTACCGGTGCTCAGCTGGGCCTCCGAGTCGGAGCCCCGCAGAACAGAGTCGGCCTGGCCTTTATTTATGGCACGCATTTGATGACGCGGCGTCAACACCTTCCTACATAAAATCCAAGGATTCATTTCACAAATAATAATACCTTGACTTTGCAGATGCTGTTGATCCGAAAAATCTGACGTTTTTGGATACACATGATTGTAGGAAAGAGGATTTTACTGCTATCTTGAAAGCCATTTTTGACGTCTGCAGTGTATACGTGCACGCCGGAATCACGTAGCCTGAATGATAGTCTTTAAATAGACTTTAATATTGTACCAATAGGAATGATTGATATCTTTCTAAATTTATTTTCAATATATCGTATAAAAAGAGTAATTTTAAATATTATCAAATACTTCTGATAGTTATTCGATATATATTGTAACATAAAGTACACCAATTACTAATTAAAAAATGAGTACAGCCTTGATATTGACTACAACAAAATGTTCACGTTCATTGCGCGTGCCAGCTGACCTGGGATGGAGAAGGTCAACTAACCATACGTACCTGGAGGAGTGGCAGGGGTAAGATGCCAGCCAACCATTCCATGTTCTCCAACTTGAAAAAAAATATAATGACCCTAGTTATACTCTGCTTACGTATATTTACACCATAGGCGTAGACAGGGGGGCACAAGGGGTCACGGCCCCCTATTCAGCCCCCGAAACAAAAAAAAACATAAAAACATGCGGTAGGCCTACCTATAATGCTTCGAACATAATTCATCCCGGCCCATGCCCCCCCCCCGGACGAGCCTTTTCCCCCTAACCCATCCATCCTAGGGCCAGGGGCGTCGCCAAAGGGGGGGGGGTGTGGGGGTGCGACACCCCCCCCCCCACCTGTCGGATATTCAGTCGGTAAAATTGCGCTGCCGTCGGGAAAAAGAGAAAAGGGGAGGGAAAAAAAGAGAGGGAAAAAAAGAGAGGAAAAAAAGAGAGCGAAAGGGAAAGAAAAGAAAGAAAGGAAAAGAAAGGAAGAAAAGAGAAGAAAGAAAGAGAAAAAAGAAAAAGAGGTAAGGAGAGGAAAGAAAGGAAAAGAAAGAAAAGGGAAAAATAAGAAAAAAGAGTGAAAGGGAAACGAAAGAAGAAACGGGGGGGGGGGGGGGCCGGGGTGAAAGAGAGGAGAGAGAGGGGAGGTAAGAGTCTGAGAGAGGAGGAATGGGAGTAAAAGAGAGAACAATGTGAGACTCGCCGGGGTGACATCTCGTCGAGGGAGCAAGAAAGACACGGGTAAATATGTTGCTGTGTCGGGTCAGCTGTGTCGGTATTCTTGCTCGAACTGTGACTACGTATCCGCTGTGACGACTTCGAGAGTGACTACAACTACAATTACTTGTATTTTCTCGAAGTTTCACTTTCCTATAATATCAGCTAAAGAAATCAGAGGTTTAAAATTTTCGGGGAAACTAAATTCAAACAAGGTTTAAGAGTCAACAACCGTACGACGAATCGTCTTCCTTTCTTTATATTGTGAAGAAACACCAAAAAATTCCGCGCTTCGCGCGGAAGGGGAAACTTCATTTAGACGAGTCGAGAACGGTACGACGAAACGTCTTCTGTCTCTAAGAATTTAAGGAAACGTCAAAGCTTTCGCGCTTCGCGCGAGAGGGGAAAACTGAATTCAGATGAATAAGGCTTAATAAGATTCGAAAACGGTACGAGGAATCATCTTCCTTTCTCTATATTGTGATGAAACGCCCAAAATTCCGGGCTTCGCGCGGAAGGGGAAACTTCATTTAGACGAGTCGAGAACGGTACGACGAAACGTCTTCTGTCTCTAAGAATTTAAGGAAACGTCAAAGCTTTCGCGCTTCGCGCGAGAGGTGAAAACTGAATTCAGATGAATAAGGCTTAATAAGATTCGAAAACGGTACGAGGAATCATCTTCCTTTCTCTATATTGTGATGAAACGCCCAAAATTCCGGGCTTCGCGCGGAAGGGGAAAACTTCATTTAGACGAGTCGAGAACGGTACGACGAAACGTCTTCTGTCTCTAAGAATTTAAGGAAACGTCAAAGCTTTCGCGCTTCGCGCGAGAGGGGAAAACTGAATTCAGATGAATAAGGCTTAATAAGATTCGAAAACGGTACGAGGAATCATCTTCCTTTCTCTATATTGTGATGAAACGCCCAAAATTCCGGGCTTCGCGCGGAAGGGAAAAACTTCATTTAGACGAGTCAAGAACGGTACAACAAATCGTCTTCTTTCTCTAATAATTTAAGGAAACGTCAAAGTTTCCGCGCTTTGCGCGAGAGTGGGAAACTTAGTTAAGACAATTAGGGCTTATCAAAAGTCGAAAACGGTACAATGGATCGTGTTCTTTCTCTAATAATTTGAGGACACGTCAAAGCTTTCGCGCTTGACGCGAAAGGGGGAAACTGAATTCAGATGAATAGGGCTTAATAACAATCGAAAACGGTACGAGGAATCGTCTTCCTTTCTCTATATCGAAACGCCAAAAATTCCGCGCTTCGCGCGAAAGGGGAAAACTTCATTTAGGCCTAGACGAGTCGAGAACGGTACGACGAATCGTCTGTTTTTTCTCATAATTTAATGAAATGTCAAAGCTTCCGCGCTTTGCGAGGGAGGGGGGGGGGACTGAATTCAGTAAAAACAGTCGAGAACGGTACAGCGAATCGTCTTCTTTTTTTATCATAATTTAATGAAACGTCAAAACTTTCGCGCTTCATGCGGGAGAGGGAGGGGGGAAACTTCATTCAGCCAAGGATTACCAGTTGAAAACGGTACATTAATCGTCTTCTTTTCCTAATAATTTCAGGAAACGTCTAGGCTTCCGCGCTTTTAATTAAGTGATTCTCTTGCTCACTACCGCCCCTCCCTAAAATAAGATCCTAGCCCCGCGCCTGCATTGAAATATATAGCTATGATGCTGACTAAATTGAAGAAATAATTCGTATATTTATTTCGTCGAGGAAAATTACCATTTTGCGCATATGCAAGTACTATAGATAGTCCATAGAAAAACAGTTTAGCCTTCGGCCCCAGGTTTATACGGTTGAATTTGTAGATATTGGATTTCTTTGTCGGTAATTGGTGGCTAGTTTTGTCGGTAAACGTTGGCCTCTACACCCCCCACTAAAAAAGGTCTGGCGACGCCCCTGCCTAGGGCTGGATAGAGTTTCCGGGGGCTCCGCCCTATCAGGCGGGGCTTTATATGCCCCTATAGACTCCACGCCTTTACTCTTTGCCCCTGAAATTGACCTGTTTTGGGGCCAGGGGGAGCCCCCCCCCCCCTGGATCCGCCACTGCCCCAAGCAACATTACAATATGTCATATATGGAAGAATAATACTATTATATTATAATGTTATCAGCACTCTTTCGAATAAAGTAAGGGGGGGTGGGGGGGGGGGGTAGTGCATGAGCACAATTTTTTTTTTGCCCTCGAAAATTTTAAAATCTCACCCCCCCCCCTTGAGCACAAGGGGAGGGAGCTCGTCTCCAAATAAAGGTAAAACTACGTGTTTTTACCTGTATTCCCCCCCCCCCCCCCCCTGCGGTTCCGCCTCTGCCTGACTGTACACCATATTTGATAGAAGCAAGTTGGTAACTAGTACCGGCCCTTACAACAAATTGAGTCCTGTCACACAAATAGCGTCGGAACCAATTAGACAATTCCATAATGAATAATACATGATAATGGCCATTGGCGTACGCAGGATTTTTTTCAAGGGGGGGGGGGGGGTTAACATTTTTAAATCGGGCCGAAAATTTTGCAACGACTCAGCCAGCCGCTGAATAAGTGGGGGGGGGGGGGGGGGGGGGGGGGGGGGTAAGAGGACATTTTTAATTTTTTTTTTGGTCTCGTAATTTGAAAATTTGACATTTTGCTCCGTTGGGGGGGGGGGGGGGGGGTAAGGTCAACTTTTTTAGGTCAGCCTGATAATGGCGATACATGTACGACATTAGGGTCTATTTCAGAAAAGGTGAGATATGCCATTAGGTTCCATTTCGGAGGTTGATGGACACAGGTGGGTAGCACTTGTGCATGAGAGTGACCGCCCCCCCCCCCCGCCTCCGAGGCCTACATACTCGTGAGAGGATTTCCTTTCTCGTTTTTTTTTTAGATATCAAAATCAAATCACATCCGATGACTGTGACTTTTTTCACTGGTAATAGAAGTGCCTCGTTATAGCTCAGATAAGTGCCCCTTTTAATTCCCATATCTGATGAGTGCCCATATTCCTTTTTGATAAATGCCCCTGATCCCCTTCTTATAAATGCCCTTCGTCACCTCTGATAAGTTTCCCTTTAAAATAATATTTATGAAACTATGAAAGCATAGTCCCCCTTATTATTTACTAGTTCTTTCGGCGCGGCTAGTTTATGTCATGCACGACCAAAATGTGATGACCTACTTCAGTGCCTGCCTACGATTTTTTGTTTGTTTTTTTGAAAGGCACTCCAAAGATCTAATAACACTTTATTGTTAGTGCCACAAGCAGGCGCGTACACAGGATTTTTTCTAGGGGGGGGGGGGGGTTTAACATTTATAAATCAGGCCGAAAATTTCGCAACGACTCAGCCAGTCGCTGAATAAGCGGGGGGGGGGGGGGGGGTGTAAGAGGTTTTTTGTTTTTGGTCCAAAAAAAAAAATCGCAACGGCTCAGCCGACCGTTGAATAAGCGGGGGGGGGGGGGGGGGGGTAAGAGGACATCGTCTTTTTTTTTTTTGTCTCGACATTTGAAAATAAATTTGACATCATTGACAATTTGACAAAAAACAAAACAAAACCCAAAAACAAAACAAAGGAGGGGGTTTAGGGGGATTTAGGGGGTTTAGGGGGGGGGGTTACACACAGAAAAATACCAAGGGGGGGGGGGTTAACCCCCCAACCCCCCCCTCCCCCCCCCCCCCCCCCCCCCCCTCCCCCCCCCCCCCCCCCTCCCCACCCCCTGTGTGTACGCGCCTGGCCACAAGGGAACTTTCAGAGTATTTATCGATTGCCCGATCGAGAATCTTGGATTCGTCAACGGTATGTTGACAATTATGATTGATAGTACAACATTTTTTACCACAAAATGTATCAATTTTTTCTTTGCTAGCTCGAATAGCCTCGAATTGATAATTGGCAAGAGGCGTAAGCCCACTGGAATTACTGTTTAAAAATGTGTTTTTTAAATGTTTTTTTTTTCTTCATAACGATTTTCTTGTCTCCCTCTTTTTTTCCTTGTTATTCATTTTTTGTGCATTCTGTAAGTAACCATACAAGATGGCAGCTTCTATGAACTCAGAACAATCTTGACTTGTTACTTATTTGTGCCAGTGGTTATTCAAGCATGTTTAGCTTCCCTCGACAGTGTTGCAAGCATATCGGCTTATCTCGTCGATATTGTTCAAGAAATGTTAGAGATGGTCAATATTGCTTAGACCTCGTAAGGTAAAACAACATTCTGTTCTAGGCTATGCGACTTTCATCTGTGGTCCCATCCCCACAAGTTTGTGTAACGTTAAAGAGTAGAGTTAGAGTTAAGCTTAGAATGGCCTACAAAACTGCAGCTAAGTCTAGTATAGATAAAATCTAGCAAAACTACGACTCTGTCCATGCCTTGTCCTGAGCTATTTTGTTGGTGTTTCTTCTTCCCCTCCTTTTTCTTCTGCTAAGACTAAGGCTAAGCTCTTTTTCCTAATCCGTAATCATCATGGCTTTAGGCCATGTAAAATTGATTACATGTTGATCGTCCGGATTTTTTGAAAAAGAGGAGGAGGGTGTACCATGTTATTTGATATTTGATATTTCAAAATTGCCGCTCAAAATGGCCGCTCGGTACATTTTCCCCACAATTTTCCGTAGAGATCAGTGATTTTCCCTGACAGTCGAGGCTTTTTTTTTTCAAGATGGCCGCCGACAAATTTTTTTTTTAAAATCAGAAATAGAGCCATTTTAGCAGTGTTTTTCATGTTTTTTTTCTTTCAAAAAAAAATAAATAACAAATAACAAAAAATAGGAGGCGGCCCCCAAAAAGGAAGCGGGCGGGGACGATCAACATGAAATCAATTTTACATGGCCTTAATCCATTCCTAATTCGATCCCATTGTTTTTCGCTATTCTTCTTTAAAAAAAAAAAACTTCTTCTTTTCTTCCTCTTCTTCTTAAAAGAATAATAGTAGTCACATTTGTATAACTCTTATTACTACGTTTCTAAGTGCTTTACTTTCTTCTTTTTTGTTTCTTTTCTATCATGCATGGGAGTCTGGAGTCTTTGAAAGTATTTTTGTGTGACATTAACTTAGGATTTCTCATGTTCTGTATGAAATGATTATTTAGACCTGTATCTTGCTTTTCAACATGGTAAAGGTGAATTGAAATAACGCATGTGTTCAGATATTTTCATATTTTATGCTCAGGACTTTTATGAGTACCGATAGCCGTCCAAATAAGTAATTTTTCTTTTGACTTGAGACTCGATCCTTGGACTAAGGAGGCCTTTTCATGTCTTGTTTTTCCATATTTATCCCATTGCTAATAGGAAACAAGATTATGAAGGATTCCTAGTATCTCTTCTCATGCCTGACACATCACGCTCTGCTGCGATTACTCTCCGAGCTTTCAATGCTGAACTAGCTTCAGTCAGGGATTCTGTCTCAAATGTTCACATTGGTAAAATGAGACTCCAGTTTTGGAAAGATGGTCTAGAAAACATTTATGCAGTGAGTACCTGTATCATAAAATATAATGTATACTGTATTTTACAGAAGCATGTTTTAGGATTTTGTGATCTATCTTTTTATCATATTATTTAATAAAAAGTTTGAAGTTGAATGAATTATGCTCCTGTAGATGAATTGTCTTGAAGAAAGATTGTAGCTTGTTGAAATTTTTGATAAATCAAAGTTTTTGTTGTAGCTTCCTTCTCTTTAATTTTGTTTGCCTAAAGTATATGGTTTCCATACATCTTCCCCTTTCTATCTTGATCTCCTCTCCTTCTCTCTTGCTCTTTCTGTCTTAGTCTCACTTTTTGTTCCTCATTTGTTTCATTAGATTGCTCTGCCTTTTGTTTATACATTACAGGGGAAACCATCTCATCAACCTATTGCCAAGGAACTCTTCAAAGCAGTCAATCGACATAAGCTATCAAAGAGATGGTTATCACAGATGATAAAGGAACGAGTAAGTACAATTAAAAAATGAATTATTCACACCCAAGGTTATTAAGTTGTGTAATTTCTAAGTACGTGAAAAGATTTGTCCCAATTTATGTTTATTGAGAATGTGATGTATAACAGTTTACATATAAAGTATTGAAGGTCCTTATTCAATTCCTTCACCTATCATTCTTGAGTTGCAAAAACATCAATTTTACAAGGGGTAGGATATAGTTATTATCTGTATAATATATCACTTCATTTACCAAGTGTATTGCTTTTATTCGGTTGAACAGCATTCAATCTTTAATATATATTTTTTTAAACCCAATGAAAGTTTAGGTGTAAATGATGCATCAATCAGAGAGTGAAGCATGCAAGTCTTGTAAGACTGAGAGTGTAGAGTCTTTAGTAAATAAAAGCAAGTTAAGGAGTTACTTGCCTACAAACATTTTGTGGCAATGTTGAAAACTCCATCAGAGGTTTGCGGCAAATGAAATACATTGAATAAAACAACTCAAAGTAAGGTGAAATAATTCTCTTTAAAAATTAAATATTTTGCTTGATATTCTCGAAATGCCTTTCTGAATAGTTGAATGCCGTCAGAAAACAAAGAGATAGATGAGAAATAAAAAATATCTTTTAAGATACACTACTGTCATACCCTTGCTTGAAACAGATTCATTTAAAATTCAACCATTTCAATTTTTTATTTAATATTTTGAATTATACCTATAATAAAAGCAATATATCATTATTGATATAGATAGATGTGAGTGAAATTACCTTAACTGAGATAATATTAAATATTCATTTAAGTGCAATAATTGTCAAGTGGTTCCTTAGCTAAGCTTTTTTTTTGTTGTACTGGTTTAGGAGAATACCTTAGAAGATAAACCTTTTCCCAGTGTGGCTGATGTGGAAACTTATGCAGAAAATACCTCTTCCTCGTTGCTCTACCTCGTGCTTCAGTCATTAGGTATGTAGCCAAGCAATCAGTGATAGTAGACGAGTTCATGTTTTAGCTCATGTTTATTGATGTATTATCACATGCATAAGAGTCAGGGAGAGTTAAGCTGCAGCCCCCCCCCCCCCCTCCTCCCCCCTCCTCCTACCACTGATCATTTTAAATGACCCATCATTATTTTGGCCAGGATACTGTTACCTCATATTCCATCAGTCAGGTTCTTCTTTGTAATTTCAAGTATAGATGGTATATATATATCTTTATGACAAAATGTCATTAAAAATGCTTTTAAATGGATGAATTTTTTGTTATGTATTTGTTTGTTCTCTAGCTTGCTTTGTTAGCTTACAAAATGACAAACGTGAAAACAGAAAGATTAATATCAAGGGGAAAAAGTAGCCCAACTCCCTTGTGAAATCATGCCTTTATATGGCATGGAATATATAAAGGAAAGTGAAATGTCATTTTATCTGATAGATAATGATGTATTGGAAAGGGGATATTCAAGTAGTCGGCCTTTTCGTCTGTAACAACAGCTGTTTGAGTATTTCTTTCTTTCTCTCTCTCTGATGGTAAGGTATTCAAGACGTGCATGCAGACCATGCTGCTAGTCACATAGGAAAATCTCAAGGCATTGTCAACTTGATCAGGGGGATACCCCTCCTAGCTCAGAGGAGGGATGTTCTCATTCCAATGGAACTCACAATAAAGGTGAGAAGAGTAGAGTCAAGTCACTTCTTTCTGTTTTAAAGCTAGAAAATATATTGATAAGGCACCACTACAAATTATTGTTTTGGTTTGGCTCGTGTTTTACCCAATCGCTAAGAAAGCATAGGATGCTTGTAGGTAAGTGACCAGGAGACCGAAAGCTTTAAGGACTTGAAAAGGATAATAGCAATGTCTTGTCTATTCTCTCTATATGATTCTTGTGATATCTGGATGCTGCAGACAGAGTTTAGCAGTTTTCATTAAAACAACTTACTGATTTTTAAAAATTGACGGTAGCATAATCAGTTTGAAACCTTATGCTTTTTTAAGTGGCATGGTTGATAACTTGATACATCCACAGAAGCTGAAAATACATGTCGCTTATAATGGTAGTGCAGCATTTGAGTTTGAGTTGATTTCTTATAATTTCAATCTTACACATATTGTGATTGTATTACAATGGTCTGTTTGAAGAATGCGTAGAACTTCTGTTTCAATTTCTAAACAAATGATACCCTGGATAGCTCAGGAAGTAATCAATTATGATCACATATGTAAGTCTGAAATAATCATGGATATGTTGATTTCATATAAACAGCAAACCTGTGTCAGATCAATACTACTAGTAACTACTGTAACTGTGTGTGTATGAATCTTAATGTATGAAAGTATCTGAGAAGATGTTATGGAGGTTATTAAAGTATGTTAAATAGTTTTTCACAATCACTCAAAAATATGAGCTTAAAGCTCTTACTTCAGCATTTACAATAATCTGACCCCTGTATTCCAGTACACATCTTTTCTTTTTGTATTCCAGTATGACCTATCACAAGAGGACATTATCCGGGGCAACAGGTGTCAGGACATGAAGGATATGACCTTTGAATTAGCTAGTCTTGCAAATTCACATCTTATACATGTGAGTACATTTGACTTTTATAAGGTAGTGACATGATATCCCAAGTCTATAATACTCTTATGGTAAAGATTTGGGGGTTTTCCCCTAGTTGTAAGATGCAAAATTATTATTTGAATTGTTTGTTTGAGACTGTGAGAATGGAGTTTACTCAATCAAATCCTTCAGTGAAGCATAGTTCTAAAGCAGCTTTTCACAACAAAAAAGTTTTAGAAAATTAATTTCTTTATGTCATAATTCTCCCATCATCAAGATTTAAGCCGGCCATTTTAAACAGCTTGAGATGTCATATAATTAATTAAAATATCAGCAATATAAATGGAATTGAAAAATAATATGTACTATATGTGTATATTTATATATTTGAATATTTAATTTTGAATGTTTGTTTACTCTGACAGGCTCGTGAGCTGAAGAAGGACGTTACACCTGGTGCTATCCCAGCATTCCTTGCCACTGCTCCACTTGAATCCTACCTTAAGAGAATTCAGCGAGCGGACTTTGACGTCTTTCATCGATCTCTCTCAAATAGATATCCACTCCTCCCAGCTAAAATCTGGCTCCAGAACTTCAGGAAAACTTACTGAATTTGCTTGTGACACAGAATGTCTGTAACCCAGCCATGTATGGCTCATGATCTAGGCCCAGTCTGATTGACAATATGACATGGTTCAACCTTAAAGATAACCCGACATATCAAAGAGTTTTTTGTCTGATGGTTCAAATAGCTTCAAAAGTTCCCCAAAGTCACTGAATGAACTTCTAAGAAAAGCTGCAAGTTTTCAAAGAATATTTCATTGTTTCTGGAGGAGATAGTACACATATTAAATCAAGTCAAAGAAAATGTTCAATTTTGCATGACTCTGTGTACTCTTTCATATGAAGGCCACTTAACTTTATACTTGCAGATCCTTGGATTTCAGGGTTTAAGTGTAGAAATCATCCAAGACACAGAAATATATGTACCAGTACTGTTACTACAAATTCTCGTTATAACAAGGTAATGTTGCTGATCTCACTTCTTTCTATTCAGAGATGCCAAGTTCAAAGATCGGCAATGCGTGACATTTTCATGATTCGGCGCGCAAGTGCGCGTGCGAGGGTATAACACACGTATAAGGTATAGCTTTTTTTCAAAATCTAGCGGGCGCGTTGTGCATAAGAGCATTTTCAGACCTTCGAAATGCGTGATGTCACGCCTAATGCGTGATACGTGGTAGCTCTGTCTATTCTATTGTTGTGTTTAGCCCTGATCTGAAGAAGTTCTGTTATATATAAGTTTCTATTTTTTGCCCCAAGGCATTTGTAATTAGGTGTCACTGTAATGATATACTGTTTTTACAACTTCAAATATTATCAGAGTTTAAATCACAAGTTAAGTCAGGTTTGCATGCCTTTGAATTTAGAAGAAAAACAACAACTTTGAATTGCATACTCTTTCATGATTTATAACATATCATTTATATCAAGATCTTTTATTATTTTAATATGTGTACCGGTACTGCTAGTAAGTACATGTAGTACACCATCGAACCAAAGATTTTTTCTTCCATTACTGACGTTGTATAATGTGAACAGAGTTTGTAGAACATGAATTCTGGTAGATGATCTAATTAGTCATTGTACACCAACATATTATCTACCTAAAATTTTTTCTTCAGAGCAGCAATTGTGCAACTTTCTGCTGTACTTTTTAAGACATTCATATACTGTATAATCAGAAACTTACACTACATGAATCTTTTATGATTTGTAAATCACTAGTTTTTTCTCGGTTTGTTTAACTGCGACTGATTAATTTCATGGCATTAAAACTGTAGTGAATCTGCACCACTCACAAACACTGCCAACATGTCATGCGTGCACAGGTTTATGGCATTACAGTAAACATTTTCCTGTTTTGTGTTCTTTTTAATTAACTATAGTATTTATTTTGTACAGTATACAAACAAATGAATAAATGAACAACTTTAAATAGAATAAAATTCATTTTGCTTTATTTATCAACATACAGTGTGTCAACAAAAATTGTACAATGAATTTGCAGGAAGAAAGGAGCATACTTAAATACGTTTGACTCGTTAACTAGTTAAAAATAGAAGCTTTTCCACTAGGATAAGTCTCCCTGATTTGTTTTTACATAATTCTCAAGATTCCTTTTTGCCACAGCAGACAAAATGAATAACTTGTATTTCTTATTCCTGAATATGAGCTTACAAATCGCTCAAAACTTGAACCCTTCACTGAAATTTTGTTTAGAGTAAGGTACAGGGGATGGGTAGGACCTTCATATCAAAACATTCTTAGATGCATCATGCGGGATAATTCCAATCAAATTGATGTTCTTTGTATTTCAGCAACAACTCTAACTGTCACAGTTAGTATATATTCATTATGGCGAGTCCAACTGGTTAACGTCTACAGTGAAACAATATTAAACTGATCCTAAAATGTTGGCAAGGCCTCAGGATGGTATCAAATATTGGTACAGCTATTCTTCTTTTTGACATCCAAGGACTAATCCTACACAACATAGACAGCCATGCCTTTCATACATTGCTTGGTGTCCTAGAAACCTCTCTAGTCTAGATGGAAGAAGGGAGCTGGGTAGACCGGGAACAAAATCAACACACATGGTTAAAAAATAATTTATTCAACAGGACAGTGTGTTTGGAAACTGCCATGTCCCAATGATTACTAGCTGTATTCTGCTTTCATAATTTGTAAGCTTTGTGTCGATTTGGAATAATCATAATTGCCATTATCATGTGAATATTTGCAATTAGATATTGGAGTGATCATTTGCATTTTCAACTTCATGTATTTCACTTGCAATCTGAATATGTAATACATGTACTGGTATCTATAAAATGTTATTGGTGATTATTGAGAATGAAAACCATTTCAAGACATACAATGACAACTATAAAAGCAATATTCATTTCCATTTCAAGAATCTTTTTCTCTTATGAGGATAAGGTTTTTTTTGCCATTTATTGTTTTCCAGACTTTACCATTTGTCATTGAACACCCACTCAATATGGAGGGATAAATAAAGGAAATTCCTACAATAATAAACCTCTAATTTAGGTCAAACTTTGAACCATGAAGATGCTCGAGTACCCGTCTGATAAAAAATTACCCGGGTTACAAGGTCAAAAGTGTGGTATATGTATTTGGAGGGTAAAAGTTCATATACATAATGGCCCAAATTCACAAAGGAGGTTTGTCGAAAAACCTAGTTTTATGTGCGTCATATGACGTGTTTCGTCGTTTGTCTACAAACCTCCTTTGTGAATTTGGGCCAATGTGTTTGCCTAATCCTGACTTGTTTGTGTGGAAGGGCATGTAGATTCAGACACCTTTGAGAAGTCACAAAAACTGTCATTTGTCACTGATGACAAGTTTTGTGAAACGCCCCCCAGGTATTCACTACATGTTGCATGAATACATGACCTTAATCTCCTAAACATTTAGGTCAATTGTGAATGTTCTAAATGTTCTAATGATCTAGTGTAATCATCAGGTGACATCATCATGTGACATCATCATGTGACATGATCATGTGAAGAGCCTAATGGTTGCATCGGCTCCAGCAGTCAGTATCCATGGTTGAGTAGGATGGAATTCACAAGCAAGCACACCAAGACTGTTTGTAATCACATGACCTCGTAGAATCTTGACAGGTACAATGAGTGGATTCTGTAGTAGATCACTGGAAAATAAAACAATATATTTTGGAGATTAAATTATAGGACACACATCAAATCTTTAATTGAGACAGATATAAAGGCGTTCCTAAAATCAATACAAAACTGTTCATCACTGACCTTAAATCTTGACATGACCTTAAAGCCTGTCTGCACTAGTTTGGCCAGGGGGATTAGACCTCCCTGCAAGGTTACTGACAGGTGGTTATCTCATCAAATCAGCTCTTAATTAACATAAGAAAAAGGGGATCATGGGGGACCAACAGGCACCGATTAGGCATTGTTTGCTATATAGAGGGCGCAAGTAGCTACAAGTAGTGGAGTGAGGCTTTAAATCTTGACAAGACCACAAATCTTGTCATGACATTAAATCTTGAAATGACATACATGTCAAGGGGAAGAAAAACTATTCCAAACAAAATTTAGAATTGCCTAGAAAACGGAAAGGTGTTGCATTGAAAACTTTAAAAGATCTCACAAAATCTTGTATTATAGTTAGCGAATAATAGAGATCACTTTAGATTGTATTTTGCTTCATAATATGAACATGTTTCCATCAATGCTTACTTGTAGACTTGGCCGTGGAATATCATGACAGCACCGTCGTCTGATGCCGATGCAAAGAGTGGATAACGATGATGGTAGTTGACTTGCCTCACAGCTTTCCTATGATGTCTTAGGGTTTGGTATGGCTTAGTAGATAGATCCATATCAAACCAAGACACTCTACAATCATAGCTCCCTATCAACACATTGTCACCTAGCAAAGAAAAGCAGCATCAAACACATAGTTAGGATTATAATGAAATAAAGGAATACCAATTTATTACCAATGTTTAAACTTACGAGGAAAACAAAAATGCTCACATCATACAACATATAGATTTTCCATCAATGTCTCTCTATATGTCGCATTTACACTTTTTTTTTAAACCACAAAAAGACAATGATGCTAATATACTCCACATAAACAGACCATAGCTAGTTGAGAGAATTAGTTCCATCACCGGAACTTGCTCTTGATTGGTCAGTCATCTTATGGAGCCTCAAAAACATGGATTTCCATCGCATTGAGATTGTATTTGGAAAGGAAGCATTTAGAGTTCAGTTCTCAGTGATTCAACCTATGACTGCACATGTGTGTATGTGTCACACCTATCTCAACACGCTATGAAACAGACTATAATCGTGGCCTGACAAAGTAATGTGTAAATGACCGTGATCAGCCAATCTGATTAATCTTACTGAAATTGTTCTAGAAGCTTACCTGCTGGATGTATTGAGATACTGGAAACCCATCTAGCACTGGATAGAAGCTTCTTGGTAAGTTCTTGCTTCATTAGGTGATACACACGGATGTACCGTTGCGTCTGAAATACAAACACAAGTAATCAAGTAGACTAATGAAAACAGGTCAAGTTAGTGATTTTGGGGTGAAGCGCCTCATCAAATATGATAAATTCTGAAATTTGACAGCCTGAAAAAAGTGAATTGCAGGTTTTTTTTCTTGTCTAAATCCATTCCAAGTTTTTGTTAGGGTGACAGGCAAAACGGAGGACTTACATTTTGTTATCGAAATAACTATAGAAATATGTAATTATAGAAGAGAGAGGAGACTCTTAAAGATATGATTTACATATATGGGTGTATCCAAAGAGCAAATCTTCCAAAACTAAACTTTGCTGTTTCAATTTATTACTGACAAATTGGTAAGCAAAAAATAAAAAGCAGTTTTACTTGTCTATTGTTATTCTTTTGACATGGCTTATAACATTAACTTCTTTTCAAACTGTTGACACTGCTTGCTTTTCATGTGTTTAACACTACAGTGAACCTGTGAATAAAGACCGCTCAGGGGAGAAAAGCTGTCTTTATAGGCAGGGGGTACATGTATCTATGTAAAGGTTCATTTAGTAAATGTTTCAATGAAAAAACATTTTCAAGGAAACAAAAAATGTGTTCTTTCTATACAGGTGGTCGCTAAATCAGGTCTGACTGTATCATGGATTTACTCCTTGAAATACTCTCTTACCGCCACAAAGAAGAATGGTCTGGTAGGATGGAAGGCTACACATTGGACCAGTCCTTTGTTCTTTTTGAAGGGAGCTTGAGATCTTCTCTTGGAGAGCTGATGGATCAGAACGGACGAGTTTCCACCATCTGGAATCACAGCGGAGAAATAGTCTCCTTTCCCATGCCATGTCACTTGCTTCACTGCCTGTTTACAAACATTCCATTCATTTCAATTTAGTTTATTTGATTGTGTTCCATCTATGTCAATTTGGATAAATTTCTCCATCTGAGCTGAGATCTCGGCATAGAAGTAACTTTCTTTTCTACGCCATTTTACTTGCTTCAATGCCTGTATAGACGTGATAGACAGTCCACATGAACTAAATTGTATTCAGTTTGATTGAATTCATTATCTGTCATTCTTGTCGATTCCGATGAGTCTTCTGGTTTTGGAATCCTCGATGACAAGTAATCTGCTTCCCCATACTTTGCTTCACTGCCTGTATGTAAACATTTATTTCAATTTGATTGAGATAAATTCATTTCAATTTAAGAACCACTATAGATCTAGCTCACATTTTCCATATTTCCTGCAGGATATTTCACACTGAATAATATGGAAAGACTTTTATTACTCTAACTAAATCATTGTAAAAACAAAGAGTATCTTGCTATTACATACCGGTAATAATATATATTGACATGCTAACCTTGAAATGTTTGAGCTGTAACCTAAACCCTTGTTCCTTCTTCTCCTCATCTTCTACCACAATCCATTCCACCAGCGGAGATGTCTTCATTTCCTCCGGTCTCTCATATCCTTCTATCAACCTGTCTGTTCCTGAGGCAACCATCTTATCCCCAAGATGAGGGTTGATGATATAGATGCTATTCTCTGCACACACAGCTACCAGACACACAGCTGGGTTAGGACACCAGGCTACATTCAGCACAGTATCGGCCATCTCAATGGTCTTCATACATCGTCCCGTTGACACCTCCCAGAACCTTACTGTCTTGTCATCTGAACCTGTGGTACAATCAAATAAGTAAAACATCATTCTCACAATTCGTACCAAACTTATTTTTGAAATAAAATGCATGAGTATAACCCAGAGCTGCCAACCTTGTGCAACCATAAAAGGGAACCATAGTGGCAAAAAAGAGAGGAAAACCCTTAGGCAATTTCCAATCATAAATATCTTGATAATCAGACAGGCGATCGGTTTGTAAAAGTCATGGGGTTCCTGACTGACCTAAAGTTTTATAATCATCATTGCAGCATGAGCTAAATCCAGGATTTTGTTTCAGACTCTGAGACAAAGATACCCGATCCCTTTGAGAATGTGATTGAGATTGATATACACACCTGAGACAAACCATTCTCCTGATTGGTCTGTACTAATTGACCTCACATAGCTCTTGTGACCTTCATACACAATAGCTTGAGTGGTTGGGAAGGGTTGAAGATCCTTGGGTCTTGGGAGTTTGGGAAGTAGCTCCTCTGGCTCGACTTGAACCTTCAAAATAAAATATAACACATGAATAATTACACAAACCATTCATCATTCACTTTTTTTGTATTTGGTTTGTTTAATTAAGGCTAGAAAGCCTTCACACGCATTACAACTTGACTGTAACTTGATTTTGAAAGAAATTGAAATGAGGTTGGATATAGAATGGCAGAAATGTAAAATCCTGGGGATCAATGTGCCAAATGAATCATATTATTGAAAAAGCATTGTGTTTGAGCATTCAAGGAAGGGAAAAGGTTTGATTGGCTGAGAATTTCATACCACTGTTTGACTGTCCACTGAATGGTTCCCTGATTTAGCCTTTTCTCTACAACTTGAAGGCTTGAACTACTGTTAAATTTCAGTATTAATATTCATAAACCCATTCAAGACCTCAGTCATATAACATTATTCTTAGGGGATGGTGGGGGGGGGGGGGTTATATCTAATCACACTGCTATTCCTTTTCTGATCCAGTCCTGGTGGGGTCATAAGGTTTGGAGAGGGCATACAACAAAATAGAAATATGTTGCTTACATACACTTACTACACATAATCAACAACCTACACCCATAACCTAACCCAATATTTGAGATAAAATTGCTGTTCTTCGTCTGGGACACATAGATTTAAATCATTCACTCAAACCCTACACATGTCCATTTGTCTTATTCGCCTGGCACAGAGATCTAATCATTCACTATCATACATCGAATAATTCTCTGTCTGTCATAGGTAGAGATAAAGCTCAATTCCTACATATGACCTGGGGGAGGGGGTGTTTCACAAAGCCTTTTTTCAATGACAAATGACAAAAATCAGTGCAAATCTGATGATAACCAATCAAAAGCAAGGATTTCAGTAGCTTATAACAAAAGTGTAATTTGTCACTGATGACAAGTTTTGTGAAACACCCCCTGTTCCTCTATGATACACTCACCCTCATTCTCCTCTGCCTGGGACATAGATAGAGATCCAAGCATCTCTCAAACCTGTCCTGGATGAAGCGAGGATAGTAAGGCACCTTACGGAGACAGTCATATTTCTTGGGAACAAAGTCACTCTTCCTATCTTCAGCGTCTTGTTCATTCCAGGCCAGGACCTGTGATAGTGAGAGAGAGAGAGAGAGAGAGAGAGAGAGGGAGAGAGAGACAGACAGACAGAGAGACAGAGAGAGGAAATAAAGAGATTAACTTAACCGGTCTAAAGAGTGGAGAATCACAAATACTGCCCTTTAAATACTTCAGCAAAGACCCCTTACATCATTGTTCATCTGTTTGTAGAAAGATAACTATGTTTGATTCAATGCAGATATCATTCACTTTTCCCTTGGGGGAAAAACCTGTCATATCTATAGTAAAATAAAGATGACTCACAAGGTCTTCTTCTTCTTCCTTTTTGAGTACAGACCTCTTTACAGAGTATCGTACTATACTGGGGGTGTGTGCAGGTGGACCACTACACCGGGGTTTCCCCCTACTCTTATACGAATAGTGCAGTGGGTTTCTTAACGTGCAAAGGTAGTGACTCTTCTCGGCACGGGGCCTCCATTTAACGTCGTATCCGAGGGACGGAGTGTTTTCCACTTAACATAACCTTCGTCTATGAACAAGGGAAGGGGCACGTTAACACACAACGCAGGCTTCAGTCATCCACCTGGGTGGGAGTCGAACCCGGGATCTTTGGTTCGACAGGCAGACGCTTTACTGACTGAGCCAACTCGCCTCCTTAAGGTGAGTCACAAACCAATAATGGTCAATCTTACAAACTTGATTATTCATTTAAAAACGGAATGAAAGAGAGTGTTTGTGTACTGAGAATATGTCAATACATCACAATGTATGGGAAGTAAGAAAAGAACATGATAAAGCTAGAATCGTATAAGTATACCTCTTCTTCTGAATATATTCCAATATTGGAAGAGAGTGTTTGTGTACTGAGAATATGTCAATACATCATCATGTATGGGAAATGAGAAAAGAACATGATGAAGTTAGAATCATATACCTCTTCTTCTGTTGGTAGATATTCTGGGAGTGGATTGTAAGATTCCTCATGACCAGGTAGCTTCATCTTAGGAGCAGCAATGTGAGCATGATGACGTCGAGTCATCTTAGTGTTATCCTCTTTACCCCACAGATCATAGAACTTGGGTCCTTTTTTCTCTTCTTCCTCTTTCCTCTTTCTGTCTGCTTCTATCTCACTGGGTAGTTTCATCCATCCCATTTTAATTGCATGCACCAACTTGCTCACCTATGAATACAAGTCAATGGCAATTAAGTCACTCATCATACAATTTAAAGCCACCTTTAATGCGTTGCAGGCATTAATATCATATCTAATAGATCTATCATTATTATACCTGTTTTCTTGATATCCTTCCTCCATGACCTTAACTATGTCTCTGTTGGTCTTTTCTGTCCTTTAGTTTTAATCAATTAAACAATTTTCATTACTTTTCACCTCAAAGCTTTTTTCTTTCTTGAAGAGACCAAGACAATTGCTTTTAGTCTCAATAAATGTTTGATGCAAGTACTTTAGAAGCTGCTCTAGAAGATATATCTATCATAACATTTTGTTTTCTTCCAAAAGTTGACTTTCCATGAGTACTCACTCATTGATAATAACCAAACAGGCTGTATTTGGCAATGTTTGAGAAAGAACCTTGGTTTTTTTTATTTCTAATCACAACGAAAGACAAAATATTAACATTGGTGCCTTATCCAATATGAAGTGTAAAACTAAATATTAAGAAAATGAAAAGGGTTAGTCTCGAGCATTCAAGGGAATGGAAAAGGAGCAAGCAAAGTATGTCGACAGGCCTATGACTACAACAATAATATATATATCCAGTACCTGTTAAAAGCACTTAGGGACATAGCATTAAGTACACATTATTATTGTCACTTCTATCAATAAGTGGATGGTCTAATTATATTAGCATCATTTCTAATGTTTGAATAGGAGTGCCTTTCTATGCCATGATTCAGAACTTCTCTTTATTAAACTGAAATGCATAATCACCATAACGGTTCAAACATGTGAATTGTTGGTTTTTGTCAAATAGTAATAATGAGAAGAAATTAGTTTCACCTTGTCTTTCTCTGTGAGTGATGGGATGAAGCTGCGTTTATGAGCAGGTCTCCTCGTCACTGGGTGAATCATCTTCTCATAGGTGAAATGATCAATGTAAGGTTCATAAGGGTCAAAGGTCGTCTCAGGGTAGAAGCCTTGCTGGATTCTCTGGATAGTCAATAACTGTTCTTCGTTCAACACCACATCTTTACCAAGCTTCTTATCAAAGATAGTCCTCCTATAAAACGATCAAATTTTACAGATACAAAACAAGAGTCAGTTAATCAGAATCAGACAATCCAAGACATAGTGAACAAAAATTAAAAAATTCACAAAGCTAGAACCAGTGGAAAGGTTCACCATCACATTAAATGTGCATTCTTTTGTAGAAACTGCATCTTTAATCTATTCTGTAATCCTCATTTATACTGCATTGAGTTCACATCTTCCTTTCATTTATAATAGTATGAGCCCCTTCCTCTTCCAAATCTTCACTCTAGATGATAAAAAGGGTCCAAAGTCAACATTTTAAAATGGAGTACTGTTAGTTCTTAACAATCTCACCTTTTAGCTCAAGAATGTTTGTGTCTCAATATAGATAAAGAGCTTGAGCACAGTCAGTAAAAGGTTAAGTGACTAATGATAAGTCAAAGTCATACAGATCCAGAAGATTCTCATCAACAGCTTCGCGTCTTTGGAACTCTCTTTACCCACTACCTTCCGAACCATCACAGACTTAACAGCCATGTTTTATCAAAAAATTTAAAAAAATAAAGTGAAAACTAACCAATAATCAGGGTTATCCATCTTGTTGAGGAATTCATCAAGTTTATCTCGTCCTTCTGGTTTGACAATCCTTTGACCTTTGACATCGTATCCAAGATGCTTGTAACCTTCATACCATTCCATGGGTATGTTCCCCACTGTGTTCCGTATGTCCTGTATCACGGAGGAACAAACCATACACCATAGGCATTACACACAGATGAAAGACCACTTGATACGTCTTCCCTTTAGACTTTTAATACAACAGATCAGGGACAAATGTTTTACATACAAATGGCAGTCCTGAGTAAAAACAACTTTGCATGTGAAGCCTTTTCCAGTAAAAATTGACTTGATGAAATGGAACTGTCTTTAATTTATGAAGTCTCTTTGTACACATTAGATTAAATTCATATTGAAACACTTTCAATTTGGTACATATTTTTCTTAAAAACTTTAATTACAAATGTTGCCTTAAGTAGTCTACTCAAGTAGTATTCATGATAATAAGTAAAAAGTAAAAAGAAATTTAAAAAAAAAGAAAAAGAAGGAAAGATAGAATTCCTATACAGATTCAAAATTGACATTTTTCTGAAAGAAAACTTACCTGTTCCAAGTCTATAATGAATAAAACAAAGGAAACGGACAATAACATAAATTCTACGAATAACTTCTCACTGTGGGGGATGGGGATAATTATTACAAGATGAATTTCTCTAACCTCTTCATCTGATGAATCAAATTCATAATCATTGCCCTGAGATGGTTGGTTGTCCAAAGGTTCTTTGGGGGATTCCCCTGTGACAGCTGGTCTGGAGGAACTCTCAATCACATCATCAGTTACAGCTTTCTTCTTCCTGCTTTCCCCTTGTTGTTTACCTTTCTTAAGCTGCTTGCCTTTCTTACGCAGTGTCTATAACATTTACGGAAGAACAAGAAATGTTTCAAAATCGTTTACATGTTTCTGTATATTCAGCGACTCAAATTCATTTTCAAAAATTATTTACTTCTACTTTTATGTGTATCAACCTCATAAGAGGTTATGATTTGAACAGTCTGCTAAATTTCCTCGAAAATTACTCAGACCCAGTATTTCTAATTCAATTCCTTGAAGTACCTAATAAACATTGATTACTGAATCGACCAGAACTATGGAGTTGACATAAATTATTCCATGCATGTTATTTGATTCACTACACTAGTTGTAATTCTAATGAAAAACATTTACAATTGAGTGTCTTTCTGAGCCCAGCCACAAGAGAATAATATCAACAGCTGGAACTGTTCAAAAAGTCAAGGGAGATGCTATGGTTTATATGCACCACTCCACATCAACAGTAACAAGGTGATCTAAAATAAATAAAAACTGTCTTTTATTTATGTCTGTTTAAAATACATTACGTCACGTAAATGTTATTTATTATCATTTTTGTAAAAGTTGCCTGTATGTCATCCCCATTTTCTCACTTGTTTATTACTTTTAACCTGTGCTGTTGATCAATATTTGAACCCAAATAGAAAAAGAAACATGATAACGATGATGTTCTTACCACAGGTTCTTTGGTTTCTTCATCATCAGCATCTTCACTTGTATCGTCCTCTCCTTCTGACATATCTGATATAGATTTATCTTCCTCATCACTCACATCACTTGGTTTAAAGTCTGCAAAGAATTGTAAATAAATATGTAACAAAACATTTCAATCTCTGAGTAAGGATTGTAAACACAAGCAGTTAATAAATATGTAACAAAAACATTTCATTCTTTGAGTAAGGATTGTACACACAAGCAATTAATAAACATGTAACAAAGATATATCACTCTTTGAGTAACAATTGTAAACAATTGCTGGTAGTAACCGAACCCCAAACCTTTTTATAGCCATGATTTCATGAAATGCCCAACCAGAGCCCATGTCAGCACCCAATTTCTCAAACTACATATCGATTGACCCAACATCAGCACAAGATCAAGATAAGAGTGTTGGTATTTTCTTAATTTGAGAGACAAAAATGACTATCAAATAGATCTATCCTCTCAAAAACTAAATCTCAACCAAGAATTTGCAGAGCATGTGATAGATGGTTAATTAATTGATAGGTGAGGCAAGCCCTTATTAATTCTACATAGGTTTTCCTTGCCAATAGCTACCATCCTTCATCCTATTCATCACTGTCATCACAAGCAACCAATCAGAGGTTATGGTTTCAGTGGCTTATATTAATATCTGTTATAAGATGATGACGTGGATCCTAATCAAATGATTGGTTGAAAGCGTACATGTGACCAGTCATTTATTTTGCCTTACGCGTAATTTGGATAATGACCGGTCATTATCCAATGGTAATGACCGGTCATTATCCAATGGTAATGACCGGTCATTATTAAAGTAATGTTATAAAACATCATTTTATTAAAAAATAAAAAATAATCTTATAAAACAAATAATACACATCATTTTGTTTGGGCATTAGTGTAATTACCCACACTCGGTACCTTCATAACAGTCCAAACGCCCTCTGCTAGACTGTTAGACTGTTCCAAGGGTACCTCGTGTGGGTAATTCTTACTAATGCCCTCACTGTTGTGTATTATTAGGTGGTCTGTCAACGACAGATCACCTATTGATTTCGCTAGAATTTTCTTTATTCTTTCTTTCTTTCTTTCTTTCTTTATTTTTATTTCTTCCGTACACTTTTTTGTGCACACGTTTACTCGAAATCGACATGGTCAATTTCCTTCAAATTTTTGTCAGTCATCAAGCCCTATGCTTTCAAGTCTAATTTACTTTTTCAAGGTCATTAGGTCATCGTGACGTCATCCAGGCGCCATTTTGTAAAAATCAGGTCATTATCATATCTCAATAACGAGTCATCAAAAATCTACCATATTTGGTATACATCAACTTCAAGTCAAAGGTCAACTAAAAATGTCAACAAAATCCGTGCGCGCACCTTGACGCGCACGTACGCGCGCATCAAAATTTTAAAATGCTCAAATTCATTCCAAATTTTTTTTGCACACGTTTCAGGCCATTGTAAGCATTTTCAAAATTTGCGCGCGAGCACTTATATTTTTGCGCGTTTCCGCGCGTAACCGCGCGTACTAACATTTTGCAACATGGAATTGCCAAATTTTCACTATTATATTTATTACATTTTTTCCAAGCATTTTGATACCTTGTTCACCTTTTTTTGACCAGTAATAACGCAATGAGCGTCCGTCAAAGTTTACAGTACGCGCGGATCTGCGCTATCTGTATCCACAATACATGTGCAAAAACATGCCTATACAAAATTCATTGTAACTCTTCAGAATGGATGGTTACCCCCCATTTTTTTAAATATTTGGATAGATTATGAGTCGGAGATATGATTTCATGTCTCATTTGACCCTCAATTAACTCATGACGTCATCATAATGGCCTCCGAACTCAAAATTTCAATTTTCATATTATGACGTCAGCAGATTTTTGGAAAATTGATTGTATCTCTGTAAATATTGATCATTTTTCTTTCAAATTTTGATATGTTCTACCTGAGAATATTTTCTACAAATGCAGTCACCACGATATTTTATTTTGACAATGGTATCATGGCGTATTTTTGCGATTAAAGGAGGCATGTCAATTTTTTACATTTTGCGTGTATTCTCTATGGGACATGACTTTTTCTCAAAACTGGATTCTACATTCTCGTCTCTCGCGAGCAATATCTCCGTCGTTTTATCTTTGTTTACGCTGAGCTTTAAGTAGGTGTTAGCTGAGACAATAAGCTATCACAAGTGTGCCCTTTATTTTTCGATCAGATGCCGGGATCATGCTCATATTTCACTTACAAAGTGGGATTTGAGAATTCAATTTTCAGTTTACGTGTAATCTCTATGGGAAATGTTTTGGTATATCGGTAACGCACTTGACTTCCGACCTCGAGGTCCCTGGTTAGAGTCCGGGCGTCTCCAACAATTATTTTTCTTCATTTTTTTTTCTTTTTGACCTTTCACTCTACCATCTCCTTTGAATATTAAAACACGTAGAATCGCAAATAATGTAATAAACAACCATATTTACTTTATTATTACCCTATTATCACTTGATCCATTACTTTTTGCGTGTAGTCCCTATGGGAGATGACTTTTTCTTAAATCTGGATTCTACATTCCTGTCTTTTGCGAGCAATATCGCCGTTATTTCCACTTGGTTTTTATTGATTTTTGAGTATGTTGTAGCTGAGACTATATGCTATCTAAATGTCCCCTCATTTATTTCAAACAGCTGTCATCATGGTCTGTTGATGATGATCATCAACATCATCATGATCATCATCATCGTCATCACCATTACTATCAAGATCTTCATCATGATCATCATTGTTTACATGTCTATATAACTTCTCCCTTTTTTAATATAGTACATATTATAATCTATCATCAGACTTGAAGACAGACCACCTTATTCGTCCTCGTGACGAATTAAATTCTAGTTTGTATATACTTCCATAGATTATATCAACAGGGCTACTAACCTTCGTCATCTTCATCACTATCATTTTCATCGAAGTTGGCAAAGGGGTCATATTCTCCTTCTTGTTCACTGCCTGATTCTTCATCGAATCCTTCAGACAAGTCAGAATCTGATTTGTCAGAATCCTTCTCCTCGTCATCATCATCAGCTGGAGCATCTACAAACAAGTTTAACTGCAAGAAAAGAACCAAGATAAGGTACATGACATGTATCAATTTCGTTTGAGGCTCACTAATACCTCTTTATGCTCTGCCTAAGGAAGTAGTCAATGCTACCACCATTAACCAATTCAAGTCATCCCTAGAAAGGTATTGGAGAAACAATCCAATTAAGTTTGAATCATACTTGAGACGGGATGCATCAGTAAAGAGGGACAAATAAGCTAAGCCTAGCTTCCAGTCTCTACACCAAAGTATACCCAAAGTAAAGTATACTTTAGCTATGAAAGACCTAACAAATCTACTAACATACAACGTAACAAACTGTTTTTGTGTTGCCAATTAGATATATTGACTCAATAATAATAGCGATTAATGTAAAAAGGGGGACGCACAGGAAGTTCAGTAAATTTTTGAACTCTGTTCATGTGCCTTAGTATGCTACTGACAACCTGTAAAAGTAGACGGTGAACTGTGGTTATTCTATTACGCAGAACCTGTTTTTTTCGCATTGCCAGTGGGCGGTTTCTACGTAGTATACTTTTATTGGTTGTCCGTCTTCCTGAGGATTTATCGCTCATTAAACGTCAAAGTCTCTGTACAGAGTCATGAAAGTCAATGTAAAAACTAAAATGCATCAAGAAAATCATTGCAGAACCCATTTTTCACATCGCCCATGCGCGGATCGGATATCAGAATCGTCAGCGAAAATGCAAACAATCGTTATTTTTGCGGACACGTCTGTCAGTATTTGTGTGGACGATCCTTATTCTCGGACCAGCGGCACTGTCTGTACTACTGATTTTGTTTACCTTGCCAGTCATTTACACCTACACCTAGCCCTCAAGGCTAATGGATAGTAGATAGTGAATGAATAAATAAAACTAGATCTAGAGGTCTAGAGAGTCTAGGCCTAGTCTACACAACAAACGTTATTTTCAACACGTGGGACAAGCAATAAAAATTCACGTCAATTTCTCACATTAATACTGCTCTTCTCAAGTTATATTCTCACACGCATTACATCCCAAATGTTTGCCATCAAAACATTAATTCTAATTCCGTGTCATTTCTACCAACCTTTTCTTCCAATTCGTCGTTTCTCTTGCCACGTGCGGGCCTCTTTCGTGAAGTTGTCGCCATTTTCACCTTTTCAACATGCAGCGCATGCCTTGACCCAAAATACATGGTAGCTTGCAGATATCGCGAAGACAAATTTGAAAGGAAAAAATAATTGAGGTGAAAATTCAGACATACAGTCACATAGATCTATAGTTCATGGATTTGGACTAACTAATGATCCAGATGAAGACGACGAAGAAGAAGAAGAAAAAGGAGAAGAAGGAGAAGTAGAGGAAGAAGAAGAAGCAAGAGAAGAAGGATCGAGAAGCAGGAGAAGGAGAAAGAGAATGAGAAAGAGAATTAGGACTCGGAAGGAGAAGGAGAAGGAGAATGAGAAGAAGAAGAAGAAGAAGAAGAAGAAGAAGAAGAAGAAGAAGAAGAAGAAGAAGAAGAAGAAGAAGAAGAAGAAGAAGAAGAAGAAGAAGAAGAAGAAGAAGAAGCAAGAGAAGAAGGATCGAGAAGCAGGAGAAGGAGAAAGAGAATGAGAAAGAGAATTAGGACTCGGAAGGAGAAGGAGAAGGAGAATAAGAAGAAGAAGAAGAAGAAGAAGAAGAAGAAGAAGAAGAAGAAGAAGAAGAAGAAGAAGAAGAAGAGAAAGAGGAAGAAGAAAAGTGGCAAGATCGTATTCATGTATTGTATTGAATTTATTAAACTTCATTGATGTACATCAATATTCTGTTTATATACATGTATATAAATCAATTTACAATGCAATGTAACAAACCAATATTCTGTTTGTAAACATCAATTTACAATGTAATGTCAGGGACGGATCCAAGGGGGGGGGCACAGGGGGCACGTGCCCCCCCCCCCCCCAGACAAAAAAAATAGTGCCAACTATCCCCCCCCCCCCCAACCTGTCAGGATAGTGTCAGTAAATTGCGCTGCCGTCGGGAAAATGAGAAAAGGGGGAGAGGGAAAATGAAAGGGAAAAGTAAAGCTACGGTCACAAAGGTTCGTACGAACGATGCGCTCGTACGAATCTCCCTGTTTTTCCACTGTCTTTCCGAATTTCCAATGTCTGAAAATCGTTCGTACGGCGTTCGTAGCAGTTCGTAATGGCATTTGTGAAAAGAAGAAAAAGGAAGGAAAAGACAGGAAAGAAAGGAAAAAGAAGAGAAGAGAAAAAGAGAAAAAAGAAAAAGAGGAGGGAGAGGAAAGAAAAGAAAAGAAAGAAAAGGAAGAAAAGGAGAAAAGGAAAAAAAGAAGAAAAAAAAAGAGAAAAAGGAAGCAAATGTTTTTGCTCATTACGCCACTGCGTTCTTGTTCTTGTAAGTTGAACTTAAGACCGTTTTTCTTTTTAATTTGGCAAAAAATAAACACTAAAATAATCGAGCCATTTATGCATCAATTTATTTATTTTTTCTCCAACTTTTGAGGGGGGGGGGATATCCCTCTGCGTTCTTGTTCTTGTTAGTTGAACTTAAGACTTTTTGATTTCGCAAAAATGCACCAAATCGAGCCATTAGGCCTAAAATAAAAACTTGTTGTATTGCCCTTTGGGTGCCAAACATGGGTCGATCGGTCGGAAAGGTTTTTTTTTAACTTCTTTTTGGGCGCCCTCTTTGGGACGATATTTTTAAGATTTGAATGTTATTGTTGTTTTTTTTTTCTTTTTCCCCCGCCCTCTTTTGGCTGATATTTCTAAGTTTTTGTGGTGCTTTAATACATCGTCATCATTCCATTGATATCTTTCTCATCTCATTATTATTCATGGTTTGCACGAGTGAGAATTTTGGAATAATTTGATTTATGCATATTTATCCTATTTAAACAAACAAAATACATGTAAAAAAAAAAAAAAAAAATTTTTTAAAATGCCGACCGTAGATTTTCAGATTTTTTGGTCGGTCGCAAAGGGCAGTACAACATTTTTTTATTTTAGGCCTTAAAGGTATCAAATAAAATTTAAAAAAATCGTCAAGGCTTCTCAGGAGGGCACGTTCCCCTTCACACACCTACTGCGTTCTTGTTCTTGTCAGTTGAACTTAAGACCTTTTTTCTTTTTAATTTGGCAAAAAGTATCCACCAAATCGAGCCATAATATGCACCAATTAAAAAAAAAAAAAAATCTTCAACCTCTAAGGGAGCATATCACCCCTCAGGCACCCCCCTCTCCTGCGCCGCCCCTACCACCGCCACCACCAGCACTATTATCATCATCTATAGGCCTACCTGTCCGTATCATGAGGTCTCTTCCAAAAGAGGTCGGGTTCTCTGAAATCTTTTACATTATTGAACTTAAATGTTCTTCGATCTTCATTTGTTCGGTCTCGATCTTTCAGTCCTCCCATTTTTGTTCTGCAGTCCTTGCCATCTTAATTCATTTTCCCCACTGCCAAGTGTCAGAAGTATTGAATCTGATTTTTGCTTATCTTAGCTTAAGGCTCCGATTTAATCTCTCATTGTCCTAAAGTACAAGCAGGGGCGGATACAGCCGGCGGCAAAAAAAGGGGGAGGTTCCCAAACCTTGAGAAAATATTAAGCGGCGAATAAGCGGGGGGGGGGGGGGGGGGGGGGAGTAAGGAGCACCAATTGTTTTTTTTTTCTTTCCCCAATTCGTTAGAAAATATTTAGCGGCGAAGGCAGCCAGCCGTCGAATAAGCGGGGGGGGGGGGGGGGGGAGAGAGTATTAAGCACTATTTTTGGCTCAACTGTGAGGGGGGGGGTGAACACTCCTTTTTTCTCAACACTTACCCCCTCCCCCTTGAGCAAAAAAAAAGAAGCATTTTTTTCTTCTTTTTTTTTGCCAGGGGGGGGGGGGGCATTTTCTCTTTTGTTTAAAAAAAAAGTAGCCTACTCGCCATTTCTCCCCGATATCTTGCTACTCTTCTTGACATATATGTAAAACAAAGCTATTAATTAGAACATTATTACATAACTTGAGTAAATACATAGGCCTACAATAATGATGCATAGCGACCTAGCGAAAAAAATGCTTCTATAGTGAAATTTTTTAGAGTCATTTTTAAAAACGTACATGAGGCAAATCAGTAAGCTATCTGTCTTCAAACCTAAGATAAGGCGTACAAAAAAAAAGAAGTTGTATTGCCGGTTGCCAGCACCTGCCGGTCTGTCGGTCGATTTGATTCCCCTTCTTCTTTCTTTTTTTTTTTTTGTTGTTGCTTTTTTTCCCTCTTTGGGCTGATATTTTTCAGTTTTGAATGCATTTTTTTTTCTCAAAAAACCGGTACTGAAAAAGAAAACAAAAACTTTAATAAAAAGCTGATTGTACTAGATTTAAAGACTTTTTGGGCGGTCGCGCAAAGGGCAATACAACAGCTTTTTTCGAAGCCCAAGCTATAGATCTGATATAACATGGGAGGGGGGAGGGGGGGGGGGGAGGTGCTCACATACGGGGGTGTGCAGCTCTTATGGGTCACTTTTTTACCAAAAAAATCCCCGTAAACATGGGTCCCACTTTTATCAAAACTGCCACTAGAAATGGGTCCGTTTTTTCAAAATTTGCCAAATTTTCGGGTGCTTGTTATGCAAACACCCGAAAAACACCCCCAAAATGTGAAAATTGTCTTTTTTCAAGAAAAATGCCCCCAATGACCCCTATGAAATGGATAGGGGTTTCGAGGCTTCAGTGGCACACCCCCGTCAAAACCAAGGGGGGGGGGGTGGTGGGAGATTGGTAACTGAATAAACCGCTTAGAGGCAATCAGTTCAACTTGCGGTATACAAATTTTTCTTCTTCTTCTTATTATTATTATATCAAAACAGAGAAAACCCGGTGAGATTCGGGCTCCGCCAAGTAGGAACCTTGGCCTATCCATCTTTATTAGCATTATTCTGTGCCGGGGTCGCCCAGGGAAATCCTATGCCATATGGGGCAAAATCGATTTACCCCACTATCATACCATTTTATCTCGTGGCCTGGCTGAGTTCGTAGTAGTAGGGCGGCGTCACAGGGGGGCAGGGGGCGGCCGCCCTCCCTATCATTTTGAAAAAAGGGAACTAGATCTAAGGGAAAAAGGAAAAGGAAAAGGAAAGGAAAAGAAGGAGAAGAAACGAAAAGGAGAAAGAATGAAAGGAACGGAAGGGGACGAGAAGGAGGAATACCAGGAGAAAGAGAACTATAAAAAGTAAATTATTAAGGGAGGGCGGGGGAGAGGGGAAAAATAAAGAGAGGGGAGCTAGATCGGAGAGTGGAGGGGGGGGGGGGGGGGGGGTAGCGAGTGGTGTGCATGTGTATCGTTCATGTTGTGAAAATGAACGCTCGATGCATCGATGCAGCGCGCGCCCGAACGACTCATCCGCCGACGGGAGCCCGGCCCAGCTCGGGCGCTCGGCTCGCTCATAAGAAGCGTCAGCTCTCGATAGCTCGCGACAGGAACATTTCTCACACGATTCCCTGTCGATTCGGGAGTCCACTTTAGCTGTTCCCCAGGCCTTTGAACTGCTTTTTTATGTTTTTACAGTATTGGCTTTCTTAGCTTAGGTAAGTTCATTCACCTATTACTGATGTAAAATCCAACCGCAAAGTGATAAAACTAAAAGGTCTGATTTGATTTTGACAAGTAACAAATTCAAAGAATTCAATAAGTCACGACGAGCCAGTGCAGTGTACTATAGTGAGTGTATTCAGTAGTGTCTAGGGTCTATTCTTTTGTTCTGGTTTGTGAAATAAATTTGCATTGGCTTGCAAGCTGAAACCCCAAATGATATAGAAATCACAAGGACGGGTTTTTTGTTAGCAATTAATTTACACAGAAATATTTGATTGTATTTGTAAAGTGGCACTGATCTTGCTTGAAATATAATAATATTAAACTAGTTTCATAGATCATGAGAGTAGTCTAATAGATGTTCAGCACAATTTTCTATTTCCTGTTAATTAACATATTTGGTTTGGACGGGGTGTGTGGGGCTGAAACCCATACCGGTAACCATTTTTAAGCAGCAGGGCTGTCAACTTTGGGGAACTGCTTCGAGGGAGATCGTATGCAATTTTGTTTGGCTCAATGGAGAGGGGGGGGGGGGGGGGGGGGGGGAGGGGGCACTCCAGCAAAGCATAGAGAGTCGATGTTAATATATGCGTATATTGACCTCTAGCACTGTATGCTTGCTGTGAGGCGGGTATTATTAGACCTATACACAAACATACACACCACGCTTACAATTTTAATTTTTAAATTGTTCTTTCTAACATCAGTATGACAGTAAGTTGAAAAAAAATATTTTACTGCTATTTAGGTGTCATCAATTGCCACTAAAGTACCGATTTTGAGTGAAATCAGTTGAGTTTTGTACAGTGGCAGGAGGACCATGAGGAATGCTTTCAACGATTGAAATCAGAAATTTCAGAAGGAAAGTGTCTACGGTACTATAACCCCAGTGTCCCAACAGTACTAGAGGTAGATGCATCGCTCAAAGGACTTGGAGCCTGCCTCCTTCAGAATGAAAGACCAGTCGCATTCGCCTCAAAGAGTTTGTCAGATGCACAATCAAACTACTCAAACATCGAGCGAGAGACATTGGCACTTGTTTTTGGGATCACACGTTTCCATTCATATCTGTTTGGTAACCAGTTCACAGTCTACACTGACCACAAACCACTCGAAACGATCTGTAGAAAGCCCCTGGGGAGTGCGCCTCCAAGATTACAGAGGCTTCTCGTCAAAATACAGGGCTATGATTGTGATATCCTATACAAGCCCGGAAGTCAGATGACATTACCAGACACACTCAGTAGGTTGCCAAACCCCAGAAAGAGAGGAGACGTCATCGTTGAGCTCCATGTAGATGAAGTCATGGAATTAGAAGAGAATCATGACAATGATCTGGCAAGCTTCACACCTATGAAGCAGACACAGCTGCAGAGAGAGACAGCAAGCGATCCAAACTTGAAGCAGCTGAGTAGAATTATTCACGATGGATGGCCAGACGTGATTAAGCAGGTTCCAAGCAGCTCAAGGATTCACTGGTCATACCGAGAGGAACTGGGTGTCGCCAACGGCATTATCTTCAAAGGAAGACAGGTGTTGATACTAGTACTAGTTGATACCTTCAACGCTGCAATCAGACATCCTGGAGCAGCTACACACGAGTCATATGGGTATAGAGAGAACTCGTAGACTAGCAAGGGACACGGTATACTGGCCAGGCATCAATAAGGATATTGAAAACCTTGTCAAGACTTGCCCTGCTTGCCAGGAGAACCAGGATCGGCAACAAAGGGAACCACTACAACCGCACGAAGTTCCAATGACGCCATGGACAAAGGTAGCCACAGACCTGTTTTTCTTGATGGAACTGAATACTTACTCATTACTGACTATCATTCCAAGTTCCCTGTGATCAGGAAAATGCACAGCACCACAAGTGCTTCAGTTGCTACCGTAATGAAAGAAACCTTCAGCCTCCTGGGAGTGCCCTCCGAAGTTATATCTGATAACGGACCCCAGTTCATTGGAAAAGCTTTCAAAGACATGTGTGAGTCATGGAACATCAAGCACACCACCTCATCGCCGAGATATCCGCGCTCCAATGGCCTAGCTGAGCGGATGGTACGCACCATAAAGTCGATGATTAAGAAGTGCAAACAGACAGGACAAGATGTCCAAAAGGCACTTCTCCACCTTCGAGCAACGCCTCAATCGGACCTGCCATCTCCTGCCGAAATGATGTTTGGGAGGCAAATGAAGACAACCCTTCCAGGTCGCCATGATCATGACAGACAGATGAGCGATGTCCACGACCAGCTCCAGCGAAGGCGGGATGTGATGAAGACCGACCATGACAGACATGCCGGTCGGGTACTGTCCCTCCTGAAGGTCGGCCAGAAAGTCAGAACTTTGCATCCAGACGACAATACATGGCTGCCGGCTGAGGTTTCAAGAGTTTGCCCAGAACCAAGATCATATGAAGTGACAACACCAAATGGCAGGGTGTTAAGGAGAAACAGGTCCCATCTGCGAGAGATGCCGATACAAATAGAGACGGCAACAGCACCCACACCAGGGACAGAGCATCTTCCAAGAGAGGATGGTGACAACTGCACAACACCCGCAGGAACACAGGATTTCGATGGTTCAATCCCTCGTTCTGATTCTTTTGCCTATGTCACACGATATGGTCGCAAGGTTAATCCCCCATCTCGTTATCAAGAATAAAAACTTCATCGATTAATAGATTGATAAACAACAACTATACTTTATTTGTTTAATGATTTGGCATACCCAGTAGAATTACATTGATGATAGTAAAACCTCATATTTGACATCGGGTGATTCAATTTCTTAATCAGTATACATGTATATAACCAAAATGTTTTATATAACTGCCACGCTTAATATTGGCTATCTTTCAATAGAAAATCTCTTCTGTATACAGAACCGAATTTAACAATTGTATGTCGTGCTCGTGCATGATATTTCTTCTCTCCACACAAATGACCAGGTATTATAGTTTTGTTACGCTGATTTGTCATATTGCTAAGTCCTAATTGAAATGGGATGAAAAACGTTTTTTCACAGGAAAATGTTGTTTATAACTGTTTGCCAGAAAGCAATATGGAATCACTTTAGTTTATTCCAGCAAAAGTTATGTAAATTATAAAAAGTTGAATAACATTATACAAGTATGTCGATTCAGCGACAAAAATATGCCTGTTATAGTGGAGGACACTATTTTACCATTCTAAAATTTGTTTTTCTTGTTGAAAGGTACTTGTAAGTTTTAGTTGAACAGTTTTTAGTACTGTGCTTCTCAAAAAAAAAGAAAAGAAAAGAAGAATATGTTTGGAATGTTTCCTCTTGTTGAAATTTCTAAATTGTGTTACTGTTTTAGTGGATAATTTCCGTCATGTACAGTGCCTATTGAGCAGGGAAGATATAACTGGTTAATGAGAGCACTATCAACTTGTCATTGAAAGAAGGGGGATGTTGTGGTACTATATGAACAACATCAATAGCTCATTGATGTGCGTAATGAGGCCGCGATTGGCGGAAGGATACATGAATAAAGCACTTTCAAGATGGCCACTTATACATGAACCTTGTCTACAGTGATCTCTTATTTATCCGTTCATCTGATCTTTCAACAGTGTTTGAAATTTTGAGAACCAAAGCACAGCTTTTACTACACAGCCAGAATAGTGATGCCCCTATGTGTGTGTGTGTGGGGGGGGGGGGGGGGGTTGATTAATTTTTTTTGGAAGTGCTCACTTACCCCCCCCCCCCCCCCCCCCCCCCCCCCCCCCCCCCCCCCATTTGGAAGAACGATGTACAGTATTAGTTGAGAGATGTACATACAAAGCAAAGAAGCACTCCAATTTTGCCAATATTATTCATAACAGAGCAATAAACATTTGATATTGTTCTTTGACCAATACCGGTACAAATGAGGAAAGTCCATTTCACAAGATTTGATTGCAAGTTTTCTTGAGCTAAAGATTTATACTACCCTTGAATTGTTCTTCACTAGATCAGGCTGACAATGGCTGAACAAATGGGAGACAATAAGAAACACACATCTGGCCAAGATGCTTCTGTCAAGAGACCAGACGTCCCGTAAGTACATGTACATTTAGATCATTTTCAGGGAGTAAACTGTCACTGTATCAGTGAAATATCCATTCATCATTTTATGAAGCTTTCGTTAATAACGTACATGATGTTCTCTGTGTATGACATGCGATGACTGCTTTCAATTTCTCATTCTAGGATTAGTGTTACGTAAAGATTCTTAACCTGAGATATTAATACATTCAAGGGGGCCTATTATAGACCACCCGACAGTGACCCCCCAAAACATATTTCAAAACCACCCTATTGAAATGATTTTTATTTCCTTCAGTTTTTTCCCATTGTTGGTAACTTGGTAATTACACAGAAGTCAATTCATTTAGTTTGACATGGTTGGATTGGATGTCAAATCCTGCCAATGTTTGTTTGTTTGTTTGTTTGTTTCTCTGAAAAATTATGGAGTTGAATGATTTTGAACCAGAAAATATAGTCATGTTGAAAGTAGGTACATCTGATATGTGGTAGAGCCAGTCTTTCCAAATACATATATATGTGTGGCTTGATTTTATTTGCTATTTTGCATGGACTTTGTACCTGCTTACTTTCAGTTTATCATTCCATGGTAAGCTTATCCTGTTGTTTGATAAGATAACTATTTGAAAGATTATTGTAGGATTGTTTTATTGTTTGTAATGATGCACTGTGAAAGAAAGCACAGACACCCCCCCCCCCCCTAAGAATATCCTGCTTGATGTTCTACATACAGTGTACATGTAATAATATGTTACAAAATACATCAATATCAATATCCATATGTTAAGTTACTTTTATTTTGTAAAGATTAAACCATTAGCTTTTGGATCCAACTACCACATTATAAACATTTCGATAAACCAAAGTTGTATTGAGTTGATTATTGAATTGAACTGAATGAATTTGATTTTGCATTGAAAATGGTTTATCTTATTTGAACACTTGACATGAAAGCAATGTGATATTTATAATATTCATATTGATTTGGACAAACAATCACAATCTGCTTTTTTCTCTCTATTTCTATTTTGTTCTGTAAATAATTCTTCCTCTTCTCATATTTTAAAATAATTGTTATCCTCTACAGAATTCACAAGCCCCGTGATTCTCTTTTGAGTAACTCGAGTGGTTTCAACAATTACAGGGGTTTCCTCAATCTCTGTATAGTCTTATTGGTAAGTGCAACAATGCTTTATTTAATTCAATTTTCAATTTCAATTTCAATTTATTGTCCAATATTGGAAAAATTGTTTTGCCCACATTTTACAAACGTACAAAGAATCAAAATAAGTTTACATACATAACATATCATACTTTGTCTTAAACATAGAAATTCTTCAGAATATTGCCATTCAGACTTAGCATGCTTGATACGTTTTAGATTATTTCAAATGAGATGTTATATTTCACAATTTTTACTTATACATTGGGGTAATTTTGACTGTAATCAGGTAATTTTCACTGTTGCGGAAGAATTCTATGGGAAACACAAATACAGATATATACATTGTATATATATATATATATAGTGTGTGAATCATACAGTAATCCTATATGAATTCTATCTTTTAAAGCAAGTTCTAAGTTGTGTTTAAATAATGAAACTGTTTCACATGCACACTGTACAGATACCAGCTTGTCTCACATATAAATAATCAGTGGAATTGCCTATATAAACTACTTATCATGGCATTGAACTTTTATACTGTCATCATGCTTGGATACCCCCACTTGCAGTACAGATAGAAAGAAATGTTTAGTGTGTTAGAATGCCTAATGCCACAATATGTGTACATACAGAATATATCATGGAGCATTGTGTAAACCATGATTGTATCAAACTGTGAATGTTGACTAAACAAAGGAAGATAATCTACAGATAAAGTTAATGGTTTTAAAATACCATTGTAGCTTCATTGTTACACATATGTACATGCACCATTTTTCCTAACTGGTCACACACATACACTGAACAATCCTTAATGGCAGTCCAAAGTTTGAAACAAATTCAGTGGTTTGAAAGCAGAGCTGTATGTAGATTGGTAAAATTTTAAAGACTTGAAAGCAATAATGAAATGTGAATGTGATGTGACGATATTTAAAAGATGAGATTCTTAAATCAAATAAATATGGATTGCAAATAGCAGTCAACTGTGATGTATGCGGGGACAACTAGGGGATGTAGGATATGTATTTTTTTAAGGGGAAAAGAGTTTTCAAAACAACTCCGTTGAATTTGGCTTTCCCACAAAAAATGCCATTATTTCGGTTGCTGTACTAATACTATGAATTATACTCATATTTGCCTATCCTAGGACCTTTGTGTGTTTTCCTTTTTTAGTGTTTAAGTGGCTACACATTATGAGACAATTAAGGACAAAGAGGCTTCATGATTTTTGTAATCATTATTTTTCTAAAACTTATTCATATTCCAGGCTATGTCCTCCAGCAGGCTGGTCCTTGAGAATCTTATCAAGTAAGTAAGCTGACTGGAGACATCGTCTTTAAGATGTTTCTTTCAAGACATTGTGAAGTATGCATGCAATCATAGCTCTTGGAACACATTTGAGACACATTCAGATCTAAAATCAGTGATTTACATACAGGGGTATGTGTCACAGGGTTCTATTGCAAATGACATCTGTTCATTAGTAAAGGGATTTATATGTACAAGCATTACACAGAGGTGCCAACCAGTACGATTTAATCGTATTTAGTACGATAATAAGAGTGGAATACGATTATACGATGCCACCTCTTAAAATACAATTTTTCAACAAATTTAAATTTTTTTTTTTTTTTTAAATTTTAATTTTTTTTTTAAAAAATACCAATAAAAACCACGAAATCGCATTAAAACATGAACAAGTAAACCCCAGCAGCCCCAACAAAAACTTTGCTTTACAATTTTCTTTTAAAATTTTAATGAAAGAGCAAACATTTTACTTGACTGTACGTACCAGTATCACATTTTTCTGAAATTTTACTGGCCCGGGCCAACCGGCCATTGGTAGTGTCGAGTTTTCGTGAAAATCTGATTTTTCTCTCCAAAATCTGATTTTTTAGGATACTCAGTCTGTTTTTTTGTGTCAAGAGGTTGGCATCTCTGATTACAATGGATACATACAGTGAACCTGTCTTCATGTTTACACGTTAGCTCTCAAGTTGATCACAAAGTATTTTTTTTAATGAAACAAAGTTCTTTTTGCTGTATTGATGCACTTAGCTTATATTAAATATCTTGACACATTCCGAAAGTCTTTTTTATAAATGTGTAACTGCTGTAAAAGGGAATTATACCGCAAGAAGAACAGATGGCATGTTTGGTTGTAGAAATTGTTCCAAAAATATGTTCCATCAGCGTACATGTAGATGAGGTGAAGCAGGCAGAAAATAATTTTCCCTTTAAATTTCCCTTTTGTTTCTGAAATCAATAAATTTGAGTAATACTTTTCTGTTGTTTATTCTTGATTCTCTAGATATGGCATTATCATGGATCCTATAAAGTGGTTCAGTGTATTTCTACAAGATCCATATAGCTGGCCAAACTTTACTCTTCTCATACGTAAGTACAACCCTCTTTTCTCTTCCATTCAATACACAGGTTGTGGGATGTGGGAGATGGACCTTGTACTTAGATAAGACAGGAAATTGTAGACTTCCCATATCAATTTGTATATAGTTTTTACGTGTCATTCATCATAAAAGTTTGTTACTGTCGATCAAGAACACAGAATACGTTATACCTATATGTACTGCTCCTCAACAAACTACAGTCAAACCTGTCTATAGTGCCCACCCAAGGGAAACAGAAAAAGTGGCCTTTGTAGACAGGTGGTCTTTGTAGACAGGTTCCTTTAGTACATGTTTCAATGAGAAACCATTTTTTGAGGGAAACAACAAATGTGGCCTTTGTAGACAGGTGGTCTTTGTAGACAGGTTCTTTTAGTACATGTTTCAATGAGAAACCATTTTGTGAGGGAATCAACAAATATGGCCTTTGTAGACAGGTGGTCTGTGTAGACAGGTGGTCACTAAAGCAGGTTTTACTGTATAACTTTCATACCTGTTTCTGATTCTTATATGCTGCTGTGGCTGCTAGTCTCACATGTGTTTACATTTCTTGGCTGGTTACTTTTATATGTTTTGTTTCATTTTTATTGCAGTTCTAAATGGTTTCATCTTGTATGCTTTCTGGCTAGAAAAGCTAATGTTGAAGGTATATTACATATATTTGTATGCAGTCCAGTTTATTGTTACTATCATTGTTATGATTATTATTATTATTATTATTATTATTATTATATATTACAGGGTATTGCTATTATAATTTATATTTTGATCGTTATTTATATAATTATTTTGACTCATATTGTAATTATTGTAATTATTACTATTATGATTATTATTATTGTTACAATTATTGTAGAAGTAGTAGACTAGTATTAGTAGAAGTAGCAATAATAGAAGACATAAGCGTAGATTATCTAAGTACATTTAGTTGCATCATCTGTGCCTGCGAAGGTGAAAGTGAACTGAACCACTGTAACCCTTGCGTCTCTCCTTCCAGTTTATGCGCACTTGTACCGATGAAAAGTTAAAACAATACTTTTCTATCATTCTGGTACCTGTAGATACATGCTGAATTCAGTTAATTGGACAAATTCTTAAATTTAGGTTACATTGTTACAAAAATTCCTTTGATTAGCCTCCTAGGTGAAATTCAAATTAATGAAAACACCTTTTAAATGAGAAGTTAAAACCATTATACAGTGCTAGCAACTTCCCTATCAGTTAACTGTGTTATATATCACTGTGGGCATTATTTATTTGTATTTTCCAGGCATACATCCAGGAGAGGACGATGACAGTCCTGGTGACGCTCAATGTCATGACTGTATTCATCTTCCCAGTTATCGTAATCCTCTACTATAAACCTAACCCAGGTAATATGTCGTAATTATCAGTTATAAGATGATGACGTGGATCCTAATCAAAAGATTGGTTGAAAGCGTACATGTGACCAGGCATTTATTTTGCCTAACACGTAATTAGGGTAATCACTGGTCATTAACACATCTAGCTTGTTGTTGCTATCATAAGCGCGACATAAGTCAGAGGTCCAATATTAGGCGCGCGCAGGGCAAGGTACGCCTCAATTTGCGCTTATTTTAAACCATGGGTTATGTAAATGAGGATTTAAACCATTAGATTTAAACCTCCTTTGTGAATCAGTTCGGGCCTTTGAGTTTGATATGAGGGTGATTGATCAAATAACAAGGATCCAAGTCATAATTTTATAAAGCATAATTCACATCATTTTGTTCGGGCATTATAAAATTACCCAAACTCGGTACCTTTGAAAAAGTCTAACACGTGTTAGATTTTTTCAAAGGTACCTTGTGTGGGTAATTCTTACTAATGCCCTCACTGCTGTGTATTATTTGTATACTATTCACCTCACACATGTGATATAATAATAATAATAGTGGCCACTTGTATAGCGCACAGGTCCACCTTTCGGTGCTCATGGTGCTTGGCTCAATATCATCTTCTAGTACAAATCTAATTGAGATAACGTCACACTCCTTTGTCTTTCATGTGATGTGTTCTTGTAAAATAACAGTAAAAATGTTTATGATGATCATTTGAGTTTATTGTGATTGACTACATGAACGTTGTAAAGGAAACCATTTTTATTTGTTTTGCCTAATTCAGACAGTAGTATCTATGTTTCTTACATTAGTAGCATAATTTACAGATGAGACCCAATGTCTATCAGTATCTTTTCCTTATATCCTATATTTTCTGAATGAACCTTTCAGTTGGTTCTTTTGCCAGTCTGGGTACCTACTCCATTGCGTTTCTGAAGCTTATCTCTTATGCTGCTGTCAATAAATGGTGTCGAGATGCGCAATCTAGCACCAGTAAGAAGAGTAAAAAGAGTGCCAACAGCAGTGATGATTCGTTGTCAAGGAACTCACCGAGAAGACATTCCACCCCACAGCCCAGAAAGAGAGTCACTAACAGACGTAGGAGTGAGGGATCAAATGAAGAAGGTATATCATACACTCTATCCTCTCCTCTGACTTTATCTTGCCCACTCTCTTCTCCTTTTAGTTAATTTTAAAGTAAACAACATAAAATAGTCATCTGGATTATTTATGTTGTTTTGTATTTAAAGTTCGTACATTTGTTAATCTGCTCCCTGTCCTATAAAGAGGTGTGATTCAAGTACAACTCCTACAATCAATCGCAAGTTTGCATTATCCAATCTATTATGCACATAGTTGTAATTGATATCAATCGCAATTAAGTTGCAATTAATATCAACTGTTTATAAGACCCTGATCTCTTTTTAATATTGCTTTGCTTGTAAGAAATAGAATTTAATCCTCAAGTTTTATTGAAAACATACATTTTGAAAAAAAAATTCATATTAATGATTTTGAAGACAATGTGAGGTGGAGGGCTCTTGAATTGTAACTCAAGGCATTACATGGAAGATTAGTATTCTATAGTTTGTAGACCATGATAAACTAGGTGTACATCTACTTGCATGTGATTTATATTTACATTTATTGTCATGATTGTACAAGTAACATTTAGTGTATTCCCAATTTGAGCAATAGACTTGAGGCATACTAGTCTTTTGTTATTACAAGTTATTCAGTCTACTACAGCTGCATAGTGACTGTTATGGAAGAAATCAAGATTGAGTTGAACTACAATGCACAAGTACTTTATGTCAATTTTTCTCTGATTGTGTTAACTCATCATATTCAAAGCAACAAAAAGAAATTAAAAAATCCACTATGTGCCACCATACACTTGAATTTTTCTGCTTTCGTTCTATTTGACCTATTATTGTATTTCTTTGGGTGTTACAGCTAATGGAGAACAAGCAGAGCTTGTAGAATATCCAAATAATCTCACCTTAAATGGTAAGTACGGTAGATAAATTTGATTCATTGTCATTGTTCAATATTTTTAACAGTATTAGACAAATTTGTCAGCGATATTATGAACCATCAAATTTGTAAAGTAATGTATATGACAGATTCGTTGTTTCATAATAATGCAACGACTTATATTCCACGTACCAAGAGTCTTGCTATATTGGCTAAATGAAGTCACATGACAAAATGATAGATTGTATCTTGGCGGTCTTTGCAATAGTAAACACGCGGTAGTCTTTTAATTTCGCTGATTCCTCATAGATGAACATGCTAAGAACTAGTTGACAAAAAAAAATTGCAGGCTATTGTGATGTAAGTCAATGTAAAGCATGTGTGTGAAACGATGAGCAAGCAGTGTACTAGTGTGTAGATTCTCAGAAGCAGCTTACTGAAGTAAAGTTGATAACATGCTAGCAGGGTTTATGTAGGCCATTAATCACTAGACCGAAAAGCATTGTTGATGTGGGATATAAAGCAAGTAATCACATCCTTACTCTGCCGATCGGACAAACTATCATCGCCTTGTTGATCTCAGGGGCTAAACTATCTTCCCTTGCCTTCAGCTTGGCAAGACTGTAGCCCCAACCTCTGCTATGATAGTTTGTCCTGTCACCAGAGTAGTCGGTAAATCATTTGCTCACTATCAATTGATACTAACTTTTTTTGAATGAGAACTTCAATCTCCAAAATATGATTACAGATAGAATAAACCTTTACTCCCAGAATATGTCAACTTTGTCCCTGCGAAAGTTTTGATTAAAGGGTCTCAATCAACAATGATGAGGAAATACATGAATAATGTCACAATCTTTACCTCATGGGAACTAGAAATGTTCCTTTTCATGCTATACTAAATATACTCTGTGTAAACACAGAAAAGGAAAAAAGAGATGAAATGAAGAAATAAGAGGACTAGGTCCAGGGTTTGAAGTAGTTTTCATCTCCTATGCTACTTACCGCTACTTAATTTCAGGTGAAAAACAAAATACGATGAGCAGCTTAGAATTATCAGTATTTTGCTCTTTATGGAATGAATGGAATGAAATTATTTAGGGTGCTCATAGAATCCTACACATACTGTCAATGCATGGGTAATTATGAGGTGATTCTAAGAGGTGATTCTAAAAGGTGATTAAAAGACATTTGAGATATTGACTGGTACTTTCTATTCTTGTATTGTTTGATTGATTTTATTTTCTCAACCATGTCTCCTTCAAGATATGTGTTATTTCATGATGGTCCCAACCCTTTGTTATGAGCTAAACTTTCCGCGAACAAAGAGGATACGCAAGAGATTTCTCATTCGCAGAATTATTGAACTGGTAAGTACCAAATAAATAATAGACTGTAGTTGTTATTCAGATAAATTAAGGCCTCAATTACTGCATAGGGACATATTTGTGATATATGCCCTTTATAAGTATGATTTATTAAGATATTACTATCATTATACAAACTATGGGAAAATTTGAAGGAGTTAGGGTTTTACTGTTTCATGATATGATGTGCAATGACCCCACTAACAGTTTAACATTGAATGATCAAAATGTATTCCTGTGGCATTTATTGATTTTTGTCCTTGCCATACATTTTAGTTTACCCCGGTAATACATTAAGGCAATCCAATACATTGTCATTTGATTAAATATGTAGTCGAAATAGAAAGCATTATTTTTCAGTTTCATACAGATTGTATCTCTCTCCCTCTCTATTTCTATTCTCTCTATTTTTCAAGGTAATAAATTAGTTCAATGTTTTTTTAATCTATTTCTCATACGTTTAGGTTTTCCTTGTTCAACTGTGTTTGTGTCTTGTACAACAGGTAAGTAATCTATCAAATTAATGCTGATGTTTATAAAACTCTTGGAATGTTAAGGTTTTTAACAGAATAAAGATGTAAGTAGTGGCCACAACGAAATAATAAAATCATATGAAGAAAAGAAATACCATCTTAATTTTCTTTGTAAAGCCCTCATTTTTGTTTTCATCACCTTTTCACCTCTGTATCTATGTTTTACCCTCTCTTTCTGTCACATTCAACAAGTTTGAATAAAAGTTTTGTGTTTTAGATACAGCATGGAATGTATGTCCTAGGCCTCAAACAGGGCATTTTATCTATATTGTTATAAATCGCCCACTAAATGTGACTCGTTCTCCATTCTTGAGATATTGAGATGTTCCATTCATTTTGATTGTTATTTTACAGTGGATTGTTCCTACAGTTTTGAATGCCTTGGCTCCATTCACAGTAAGTAACAAGATTTATATTTATATACTTTTGTTTTACTGGTAGTGATAATGATTTTTATCAACATTGTAAAAATATTAGAAAATCATTTTTTTTATCACAGACCCTTAGTTGGGAAGGTGCATTTTTGCTTGAGTGTCAGATGTTATATATGGAATATGATTTTTACCTACCCTTGTTTTTATAAGGGATTTTGTAGAAATATACCGAGAATGGTTTTTATGCAAAAGGTAAGCTAATTTTTTATAAAACTAATATATTATGAAATATGATATGAATTAGAGTATATGACTGTAAGTATGATGTTCTGCCTTGTGAAAGGTTTTATTACGTCACTTCAAGATATCAATGTATTTATTTTAATGTAAAAAAAAAAAACCCCTTTTTAAAATTTACTATGGTAAAAATTGAATTTTCATGTGGAATCTTGATGTATTAAAATATTTATCATTTCAGGGCCTGTTTCATAAAACTTCTTATGAATAAAAAATGTGAAATTCCATGACAAGATTGCTCTCTGCTGATCAAATCTAAGGATTTTAGCAGCTTATTACAACTATCATATCGTGTTAATAATAATATTAAAACAGGGTCCAGAACTATTTTAGATATAGTTTAAATGTAAGCTCTTTAAGAACTTTCCAGAGCTCCCATGTATGTTTTTTCATTGGTTTGTTGTAGAGTCTAGACACAAAGAGGATGCTGGAGAGAGTATTGAAGTTAGCGGTAAGTCTGGTTGCTTGTCCATACAGTCTATAGCAGAAAAATGTACTATTCAATTCTTGTTTTTCAACTTCTTTAGTTAGCGGTAAGTCTGGTTGCTTGTCTGAACAGTCCATAGCAGAAAAATGTACTATTCAATTCTTGTTTTTCAACTTCTTTAGTTAGCGGTAAGTCTGGTTGCTTGTCTGAACAGTCTATAGCAGAAAAATGTACAATTCAATTCTTGTAGTTCTTCTTTAGTTGGCTGTAAGTCTGGTTGCTTGTCTGAACAGTCTATAGCAGAAAAATGTACAATTCAATTCTTGTAGTTCTTCTTTAGTTAGCTGTAAGTCTGGTTGCTTGTCTATACAGTCTATAGCAGAAAAATGTACAATTCAATTCTTATAGTTCAATTTCTTTAGTTAGCTGTAAGTCTGGTTGCTTGTCCATACAGTCTGTCTATGGCAGAAAAAATGTACAATTAAATTCTTGTAGTTTAATTTCTTTAGTTAGTGGTAAGTCTGGTTGCTTGTCTGTACTGTCAGTAGCAAAATAGATAATAGATGTACAACTTCATAAAGGTGTATTGTAATTCAATTTCTCTTGTAAGTGGTAAGTCTAATTATCTATCCTATCCATCTATACAAAACTCCTCCACTGGTTAATGTTTAAATTCCTTTAAAGGCCATCTGTACTAGTGTAAAGAAAGGATTAGACCACCCTGCACGATCACTGGACAGGTGGTTATCTCATCAACTCATTTCTCAAATAACATCAGAAAAAGAGGATCATGGGGGACCAAATGGTCACCGATTAGGCATTGTTTGTTATATAGAGGGCACAAGTAGCTACAAGTAGTGCAGTGGGGCTTTAATGTAAGTCCCGTAATGAATCTCTTCAGAATTTCACATTTGATTCTCATTTCCTACCTATGGTATGTTGTTTTTACAGGTTCCTAATCACATATGTTGGTTGATATTCTTCTACTCATTCTTCCATTCATGGCTCAATGTTTTGGGAGAGGTTACTAAGTTTGCAGACAGGAACTTCTATCAGGATTGGTGGTAAGGAACTTTCTTTCTCATGGCACTGCATTGAGCATTCCTTTTCAATGTCTGAAAAATTGTGTTCCACTGAAGGTAGTGCAGTAGTAATTTTATCATGTTAGTTTGTCAGTGCATCAAACTTCTGGTTGCATACAAATATTAAGTGATGATATGACAAACTAGTTGAACATACAGTTAATGACATAATTATTCATACGCTTACCAAGTTTTGTAATTTTTAAAGTATGTGACAAATTGATTTGTCATGATTTATTTTTCTTGAGATATGACATATTAAAGGGATTGTAGCATGGCAAATACTGGTTAACGCCATCTACATCTTCCTTTGACAACTACACGTAAACGAATGGACTTGATTAACGGTAGTCAACGACTTAATCTCTACATGGTCAGTGTTCGTGAAACAGACCGCAGTTCTCCTCACCCTTCGGTTTTGCGTATGTTGCCTGGGAACGTTATTGCTGCGGTCGCGTCATCCATAGGCGTATTATACCCGAATGGCCCCGAGTCGGGCTACGGGAAAGACACATAGTCTCATCAGGCTACACACCCTTTTAACCTTACTTGTTGAAGCTTATATTTTGTATTCATCAAAGAGCCTATTTGACCAGTTCACCTTTCATTCTTGAGTTACAAAAACCACAAAAAACATCAAATTTACAAGGAGTATGAATAATTCAGTGGTTAAAGGTAATACAAAGTTTTGGGAAATTTTGAAAATTGGCTGGATAAAGATTCTTAAACATTTTGAAATATTTGGATGCCCCTGGGGGTCTATAATAAGCACTAAAGAAATCAGCCCCTAAAACACTTCTGCTTTTGAGAAAAATTGAATATCAATATTTACCGGTGCTCCCGGTAAATTTTAATAATTTTCAAATAGCACCTACGGCCATACAATGGTAGCTGTGACCATAAAGATGTCAGAATATGTAGTTGTGATTTATAATTTTTAAACGGAAATAGACAATCGGTCGATTTCAGTCAAGAAACATTGTTTCATAGCTAAATTAATATCTTGACCTTGAGAGGGAGCTATTCAATGAAAATAGTTTATTATTTACAACTTCATCAATTTAGACTCGATTTCAACCGCGACAACGATCATTGAATATTGTAGGATCGCATATGTTTCCAATATATTCATTTGAACCAAATTCATGACCCCATACCAAAACTTTGTAATACCTTTAATTGCATGTAGGAAGATGTACTATGCATACTTATTGTATTTCTTTGTTATATTTTCATGAATTGCTTTTCACTTCTTTAAAACCACAGGAATGCTGAAACAATATCATATTTCTGGAAGAATTGGAACATACCAGTTCATAAATGGTGCCTCAGGTAACTATCTCTGTCTCTGTTTGTCTCTCTGACTTTCTTTATTTTATCTATATCATGATATTTTGTAAAGAATGATTAGTAGAGGTGTCTAGGTCTTGTGGATATGGCTCTGGACCATTGATAGTAATTTACAGGGTTTAAAGGTAAAGACCAGTATTGGAAACGCCCCAATTTCAAAAAATGAAATGGAAGCTCTTGTTACCAATCATGTGAAAGAATATGTTTTAATGATACATGATATACATTTTGCCCAGAAACCGCCTACTAATTGATGTATTTGGTAAATTAGTTTAAAAAAGCATGTGTCGCGCACGTGTGCATAGTCCCATATACATCTTTCTGTGTACAGTGCTTGTAACTTTATGAAGACTGGGCCAAATTTCTCATCATTTTGATGATTCCAGAACCTTGCAGTACATCTACGCTAGATGATCAACCTTTTCTGATCGATTTCACAACGTTTCTTTCACAATGCAATCGCATGGCCATAACTGGTGTTTAGCTTTAACTTGGCTAAAGCCAGGATCATAGGTGTACAGAAACATTTGTATTAAGTGCTTTATGTAAGTTTTACCATATCAATATCATTATTATTAAAGCCTTTAAAGTGTTGGGAGCCCCAAATTTGGATGGAAAAATTTCACTTAAATTGTATCATAATGTGAAAGAGAACATCATTTAAGACAGACTTCTGCAAAGATTTCCCCCTAAAAATGTGTTTGAAGACAAATATTGATAAAAGAATACATAATACTATGTCCTGGGTAATAGCATATCTGTAAAGCGCGTAGAGACTTTGTATTAAGCGCTATATAAGCGAAATATTATTATTAATTGGGTTTTCTGTTGTATGCAGAAAACCTAAATTTTTAATTCTTTCATCAATATTCGACTTCAAACACATTTGTTTTGGAAATCTTTGCAGAAATGTGTATTAAACGAGATCCTCTTTTGCATTATGATACAGTTCAAGTTTAATTTTGCCTTCAAATTTGTTAGGCTCCCAACACTTTAGAGGGGCTTTAAATACTTATAATGTTAAGAATATATAAAAATTTGTGGAATCATCATGTATGTAGTCTGATGATGAACAGAGCATGCTTTTCAAAACGTTGAGAATTTGAGACTCTTCTTTCCTACAACAGTTCTCTTTACAATACTGTTCGAAACGTTGACCCTTCTTTTCTATAACAGTTCTCTTCAGTTCTCTTGCCAAAAGATACACCAGTGTCCTGAGGAATAACTACACAGTGCTTCCGTCAAATTTCTAGCTGTTTCTCTGAAATCATCTTGAAATGTTAAATCTATACTATCAGTATTTTTATTGTTTTATTTGCAGACATTTGTACTTTCCACTGCGTTCAAAGGGTGTTGATCAACAGAAAGCTCAAATTATTGTTTTCTTAGTTTCAGCTATTTTTCATGAGGTGAGAATTTCCATAGTTACTTTGATTTTTTTTCTTCTGTTTATCTGGGAGGGAAGGAAAACGATGGATGATAATTCTAAATACTCTTTTGGTGGCAAGAAAAAGGAATTAAAAATAAAAAACAAAAAGATTTTTTTAGACATTATTATTTTGATACCATACTAATATTTTTCAGAAAGCAATTATTCTATCTTTCTTTTTTATGCCAATTAATGTTTAGAAATAGAAGAAAAATTGATATACAATGTAATATTTTTGCATTGAAAGATAGGAAAGTTATGCCAGTCTTTTTATAATTTAGGTATTAATCAGTTGTTGATATTTCTTTGCAGTATTTGGTGAGCATCCCACTGCAGATGTTCAGACTATGGGCATTCGGGGGTATGTTGGCACAGGTATGATCATGCATCTTGATTTCATCATTTCATAACAAATCTAAAAGAAATCATTTCTATATGTCAGCAAATGGTAATTTTGTCAAGTATAATCAGGTTTGTTATAAGCGTTGGAAACAACAAATTTCCTGAAATTGGTTTGAGACTTATCATTACAAATTACAAGTTCAAACCAAGAGTTAACACTAAGAGTCAATATTCCAATGGATTGTATTAGACTGTGCTGAGTGTTGACTTCTTAATTTAAATTCATTTATATCTTTAAACTCACAATGTCTATCCATAGTATCTAATAGATATTGATGCAAGAATTACTCATGCTTAATACTAAAATATGGAAATATTGCTGTAGTCCTTAGATGCACCTGTGACAATAGCAACGCATTTTGAAACATGTTACTTCTGAATCTCCTCAATTATCAGCGGTAGACTGCACATTCCAAAACTATATTACAGTATCAGCACTATAAAAGAAAGATATCAGGCCCTTATTATGATGCCGATTTCCATTATAAACAAGAGAGATTTTTTTTAATCAAACTAAAAATGAAGCCATTGTACAAGATAAAGAACCTTTGAAACAAATTGATGCCTGTTATCCATATTACACATCAATAACAAAAAAATCTTTTTCATTATATGTAGTAAATAAAAAGAGTAGGGTTATACAATAGATGTGTTAAATCATAGGTGAAGTTTCTGAACTATTTTTGACAGGTATAGAAGTCATGTTTACCTTATTGCATTGTTTTATTTTACTCTTAGCTTCCACTTGTCAAGTTAACATCCAAGGTCAAAGGTCACTGGGGGAACGTCCTTGTTTGGTTGTCTCTCATCATTGGTCAACCTGTAGCGGTTCTAATGTACTTTCATGATTACTATGTCATGCATGCGGCCATCAATGTAAATGGTACATCCACTACACCGTAGGAAGAGCATTAGTCAGTGTAGCATTAAAAATCAACATCAGTAGAAGAAATTGATATTACTGTGTTCCATATCACTATTTGATATGCCCTCTTAAACATCTCCATAACCATGCAATGATAAAATAGTAAAACGTTTCCTTCAAGAAAACGGCATTTGTTAATACTTACGTCATTTTCCCCTTAAGTGTCTTATACACAATGTGTTCCAGAGACAAAGAAATACTAAGAAGGCAAGTCTGTTTTAACATATTTTAATGATTATCTTTTTTTGCCCAAACTTCCAGTATGTGTTTTAACCAATCTTTACTCAAAGGTGATAATTGCATCTACAAAAATCTTACAAAGTGCTCTTGCCAATATTTGTATTAAGAAACAGAAAATTGTGACTTTCTATTGGTAACTTCTGTCAAATTTTATTTTGTGCTTTAAATTGAATGTTGCAGTATATGTGTAAATCGAAGTTCTTTATCGGAAGCCCATTTGGCATATTAGAAAAAATAATTCTCTATAAGAAAAATTACAATTTTTTTTGTCTTTTATTTACCCAATGTTTTTGAGAAAAGTATAATGAGGGGAGGGGGGAGGGGGCTACCACGATAGTCAAAATATGATTTGACCTACCTGTAATTTAAATTTACTAACTTAATAATAATAATATAATATAATGATAAATGTATATAAATGTATGTTCTTTGATGGAAGAGAAATTGTAGATGTATATTTTTTAGATGACACTCAACTAGGTGTACATATACTATAGCCTCTACAAAAGTAACAATGAACAATACTTGTACAAATATTTTCTTCAGTACTGTGAAAGTAAACAGATATTTTTTGTTCATCATTGTGAGTAAATGAAGTACCAGTAGTATATTATGTTGTATAGCTTTTAGTGCTGGGTGTAAAAAAGAATGACATTTTTATTACTTCTAACTCAAGCTTAGTAACTTGTATCAGACTGAGGTTTGCAAATTGTAAAGTTGGGGATGTCAATTTTTTCAAGGAATTAATTTAATATTATTTCTTCAAATAACCTTTTCATTATTATTTTGTTTTACATTTTAAAATTTGACATTAAATTTAAATTAAATGTTGGTTATATTCATAGGTTAATTGTAGCAGAAGCAGAAAAATGGAATAGAATCATTTTATTATTATTATTATTATTATAATAATATTATTATGATCGTTATTATTCTTATAATCATTATTATTATAGTTATTATTATTACTAGTAGTGATGATAATTATACAAATAGTATTTTATGTTTCAAAATCTTGTATTTTATGACAAGGCATTTGCAATTGCAAGCAATCTATGCTGAAATGATTCCCACTATATTATCCATCTCATTTGCAATATTTAGTGCTTTCATTGTTAACCTGATTTAATAAGGATTAATAATTATGTTAAATGTGATTTGAGTAAAGCATTGTTAATACAACTGTATTCCAATCAAAATTAACAATTCTAAAGAATAAAATGCAGGGAATTCATCAGTATTTAGTTTGTAACTGTATTTAAGTAATTTTCTCAAAATCCTTCCAAAACACTGATTATGGGAGAAGTTTCTCAGGCCAAAATAATTATGAGGACCGAGATATATATCAACATTGGTAAGCATTGGAGTAGATGTGAAAGTTGGCACTTCAAGAGACCCATCCTACGCTGTATTGTTTCTCATCTACTTTGCATTTCCTATCAAACATGCTTGGGAGATATTATTTACATCTAGTGCAGTTCAAATATGTTGCATTGTGTGAGAACTCTATTTTAGTTTTTTTGCCAGATGATGATGATCCATATTTTTGTGGTGGTTAATTTGAAATGCACGGCAAAACCACCACAAACGAATAGATTTGTCAATATAGAGTTATGTTTTGAATATTATTTTACTAATTAATAAGATAATTTGCCAGATGCATTTATATTATTAAATTTACAGGTATGAAACACAAAGATGCACTCAGATAGATTTTTATAATTCGCATACTCTTTTATACATAAATTAATGAAAAGTATAAAAACATTGGCCCCCTGTGATATTTTGTTAGACTGATTACTTGATAGACAGATAGATTGATAGAGGGGGGTGGAGAAAGGAATAGTAGGGGGTGTAGATGGAGAGAGAAAAGAAGATACAGAAAGGGGAAGAGATATATATAGAAAAGGGGCACATAGAGAGAGAGAGAGAGAGGAAAAGTGAAGAAAAAGAGAGGCAGACGGACAGAGAGTGTGTGTACGGGGGAGGGTAGAAAAGAAAAAGAAAAGAAACTCTAGTAATTACATAAAATAAAAGTGTAAGAATGCATCATTACAAAATTGATGAATGTGTCGATACGCAACAACAAGACTTAAAGGGCAAGTCCACTCCAAAATTAAGTTACTTTCAATAGAAACAGAAATATCAGACAAACCAATCAAAAAAAGTTTGAGCAAAATCAGATAACTAGTACGAAAGTTATGAATTGTTGATGACCTGAAAAAACTTTGAATAACACAAGACAAATTGGCAACTCACTCGTGAGTCTGTGACGTTATTGCCTCACTATCCACTAATTGTTTTCTTTATATTAATAATATAAATTTCCCCCCCCAAGAATCTTATTTCATCACACCTCACAACAGCATCCAAGTTATGTTGATATTAATATGTTTTTGTGTGGATGCACCAATATAGAGTAATTTGTTTCAGATAAATCATAAAAAATGTAAATTTTGATAAAATATTTATACACAAATAAAAAATGATGAATATACAATATTCAGAAAATAGTATCAATTCTTCAAGTTCATAAAAGATTTTGTGAAATGCCATGCACGCAATATGATACAATTCATATTATCTGGGCAAATAAAGGCATGGGGAAATCAAGTTGTTTTTTGGGGGATAAAAAGGGAAATTAATAGGATAAAAATATACAAAGGAATTGATAAATAGTGAGGCAGTGACGCCACAAAATGATTACTAAATTGGCAATTCGTGTAAGGATTTCCATTGTTCAATACTTTTTCAAAGATTCATAACTGCCTTATTAGTAATCCGATTTTACTCAATTTTTTGTTGCTCTGTTTCTCTTGTTTTTTTGCATCTATTAAAAGCATATTATTTTTGGAGTGAACTTGGCCTTTAATTTCTATGGTTCATAATAATGATTATGAATTGAGTAGATGTTTTTCAACGTTTTAAGTAAATGTACGCCTGTTTACAAATAGTACGTATATAATTTATAAGCCTTTAAAAATTGGTCAGTCTGATAATAGATGAAACAATTTCCTTTATTAAAACCAATTTACCTAAAATCGTTCTCTTATTGACTTCAATGTTTCCCTCAATCTGACTCCTGCTTTCTATATTTCCTGTCTTCCGGGTTTTCACTCTCCCTCTTTTCTCTGCCTTCCCCTCTCTCATTCCTTTCGTCTTTCTCAATCTGTCCATCTTCTTCCCCTTCTCTCTCTCTCTCTCTCTCTCTCTCTCTATCTCTCTCCCCCTTTTCCGCTCTCGCTCCTCCCCTAGCTCTTCCTATTTCCTGCCTCTGCATCAGGGCTGAAATTAATTTTTTGTCCACGGGCCGGGCTCTTCCCCCCCCCCAAAAAAAGAGCCTTCTCACAGGGGCTCTTTTAGTACTGACGGGGGCTCTTGTTTATACAAATATCCATACAAGCTACATAGCTGTTACTGATTTTCATCCCCTGATGACATTCTCTCGATTTTTTCCCGTTCTGCACATTATTTCCTCTTCATTATTCGGAGCAACCTTTACATTCTTTCTTTACTGAGCCGCGTAGCGGCGAGGCGATTTTGTGTGTGTGCTATTTTGGACAGGCGCGGATCCACGGGCCGATTCTACCGGCCCGCCCCCCCCCCCAGCCTCACAAACCGGTAAAAAATAGGATAGTAACGTACATTTTACCTTAAGAAATAAAATAGAAAACGCCCCCCCCCCTGACCTGCCAGTGACACAAATGCGGCATCAAAATATTTGTGCTTCTCTGACCGTAATTAAATGCCTAAAACCTCTGAACCCCCCCCCCCCCCCACCAATTTACGCTCGCTACCCTCTACCTGCATGATCGTAAATACTTTAGACCCCCATTTTGATAAACGTTCCGCGGGGCCTGTGTATATAATATATACGCATACAACAGTGATCTTTATGATGTCTTTAACGTGGCCTATCTTCTTCTCCCCTTTCAAACGAGAAAGAAAACAAGGTCATTAAAAGGGATTAAGCGACAAATAATGATTGTGATTCAAATTGATGCGAATGTTATTTTGTTTGAATAAGCACTGCTTTTCACCCGAATCTTCTTTGTAAAAACAACTTTTACAAATCTCTGCCATGCTTACTGAGTTGAGACGTTCCATTCAATGTAAAATACTCATCAAAGAATACATTTCTCCTAATCTGAAAGTGATCTTACAACACAGTGGCAGATTTGCATGGCTGTGATTTGTAAAAGTCGCTTTTTCAAAGAAGATTCTGGTGAAAAGCATTGCTTATTCAAAAAAAAATCCTTGCAACAATTTGAATCACAATGATTATTTGTCGTATGATCCTTTTATTAAATAACATTGTTTTCTTTTTTGTTTGCAGGGGAGATCGAAGAAGCTATGTCACGTTAAGAAATCATAGAGATGTATTATGCGTATTGATACCAGAACAAAATATTGATTATCAGAATGTCATTTTGGAATACCTCTATACAAATACTTTAGCTCGTATTAGTATCAGTATGAGCCAATATAAAGCTATTATTCTTTATTCAGTTCAGTATAATGATTTCCCTCAAAAATAGTTTTGCTATTTTTTTAGGGTTGAGACGCTAAGAAATGGTTTCAAATGTACATTACACAAACCCTGAACCATTGCAAAATGATGGTGGTTCCCTCTCTCTCTCTCTCTCTCTCTCTCTCTTTCTCTCTCTTTATTTTAATCATGCGTTATCAACTACATAAAGCAGCAACCAAAACTTAGGGTTATCTGAGATAGGTGAAAGTAAGAGTTAAAAAGAAAGTCATGCTAAAACAGCGCTTCACTCCCCCCCCCCCCTTGAAAAAAATAAAATAGATTAGTAGTCCTCCTCTCCAGCATCCCCCGCTTTAATATTCACCGGCCGGCTGAGTCGGCCCAAAAATGTTCCCCAAAAACTGGACCCCCCAAAACAATGTGCATTTATCCAGCCCCCTCACATGTGACGTCCTTTTAAGCACTGGCAGTGCCTTAAAAGGAGGTCACACGTTGCAGTCCACGTTCTCATCGTGCAAATCTAAAAGTCCCTTATATTGATTTACTGGTCGTGGTCCATTATTTGCTGGTCATTTAAAATTACCAGATTTTAGCGGGTTTACGCTTTCACAACGAAAAACTTCTCCATGACCATGTTTCTGCCCTTGCGCGATCGCCTCCAGCTCCAGCAGACATGGCGCGGCAGCGTGCACACGTACCGTTACTAACGGCGCAGTAGGCCTATAACCACTGCTGACGGCGGCACTGCACTGCAAGCTGAATCGGTAATAATTAGGCCTAGATCTACTCATAGCAGGCGCGTACGCAGGGGGGGGGGGGGGGGGGGGGGGGGGGGGGGGGGGGGGGGGGTGTTTGGGGGTTTAAACCCCCCCCTTTGGTAATTTTTATATTGTAAACCCCCCCCCCCTAAAAAAATCCCTAAAACCTAAAAAATCCCCCCCCCCCCCCCCCCCCCCCCCCCTTTGGATTTTTTTTTTTTTTTTTTTTTTTTAATTATTAAAAAAAAAAAAAAAAAAATACCTCCATGGCTGACCTAAGAAAGGTGACCTTACCCCCCCCCCCCAACGGAGCAAAATGTCAAATTTTCAAATTTCGAGACCCCCCCCCCCCCCCCCCCCCCCTTTAAAAAATCCTGCGTACGCCACTGACTCATAGAACGGGAAATCTTGCACGCTAATCTTTAAGTTCCGTTTCATTGGTTTAAGGTTTGAAAATTGAAACTATATTGTGTTAAAGTTATAACAGAAAAGATAATCTTTATTCTTTAATTCCACGGGGGCGATTTTTAATTTTGCGATCGCCCCCGTGAGCAACCTGACGGGGGCGATTATGTAGCTGTGTCATTCAAGGGTGTGTGTCATTCAATT